GCAGAATCAACAACAGTTTGTTTATATGATTAAAAGAATATGTTTGTCATGTTTATGGCCTGGTTTTCTTTTTTACAATGTAAAAAATGAAACTTATAAAACCATTTGAATCGTATTTGCTACACAAGAGTCAAAGAGAAAAACCGTCTTAAGTGTTCTGTTCTTAAATGTTGGATAAAATGTATTTTTATTTTCAAATGAACATTGTTGTTAGCAAAAAGTTGCCCAAAACACCCAACCTATCATAAGATATACAAAAAATATATCATAAAGTAAATGATGTGCAAATTCTTTAAAAATGCAACTGTAAAGTATCGTAAACATCTCTTTTCATGGTTAAAATAAAATATGTAATTATTGAAACATCCTTTTTCATTTGTTAAAATGCTAATGCAAATGTATTTTTCCAACTCATGATTATTTTTATACATCTCAAACTGGAAGTTAAATTAAAATCATTACATGACAAAAACCTACAGTGTAGGAAAAAATTAAAATAAAATTCTTTATAGAAATATAAAATTAATAACTATTTTGCAATGAAGATTGTTAAATATATATATATATATATATATATATATACATCAAAACATGGGAAGGAGAAAAACAAATATGAATAATGAGTAAGAAAATAATTCAAAGGAAAGAGTTGTACCTTTGTCCAGGTCCGAGTGCCAGAGCAGAGTCACGATGGACACCACGGTGTGTTTGGAGATGGCTGCAGTTTATCAGCTTTATTAAGGCAGATGTGACCCACATGGGGCAGGAGGCTGGGGGCAGCTCTGTGTGTGACCATGGTGGGCGGGTCATTCTATATTAGGCCACTATAAATTCAGTGGAAAATACAAAGGAATCATCAGTGGTTGGAACAGCTTCAGTCCTACAATTTGCACTGCTTTGAAATAGAATTTCTACGACTACTACGGAGAAGAGAACCTGGATGACTGAAAATCTTCACAGACTTAAAAGAAAATTATTTTTATAGATGTGAGAAAAAGGCGTGTTCACCTAATGGACTAACTTAGATGTAGTATCTAAACCTACAGACTACATGCAGTGAAGAACAGAGTCAGCATCTATGTAGAGTCAAGTTAATGTTGTGTCACATGATAAATTATAAACAATTTACTTGGAAAACATGTCACTCTTCTTAGAGACAGTAGAAATCCCAGGTTAGGACAAATTAGGAGGTTAGGGCAAAAAACATGACCATGTCCTATTGGTCAAAACATGTACGCATCAACCTAATTACTGCAACAGACTCCAAGAGTTAAACTCAGACAAACCAAGTCTCACAAAATTCATGTTTAGGCATCAAAGGAGCATCAACCCAAAGTCTGGTCCTTATGAGCAAGAATGATTTATAGTTCACAAATGTTTAGTTTACTTTAAAAATCCCATTTCCATTTCTTCATTTATTAAAATACCATGATAATAATATTCAGTGCATTGTTGAAACGAATGTCAGAGAGTCAATGAATGCAGGACAGCTCAAAGAGCTAGAATAAAACCAATGTAACAATTAGTTCCCAGTTTGGAGAAGTGGGATGTAGACCAGTAGTAAACATACTTCAGTCACAACATTTTGAGAATATGTTAAAGGGTTAATTTGTAAATTCAGTTATGTCTAACTAATAAAATTACCTTTGTCAGTGAAGACACTGTTCCCTGGACAGACAAATACGGCTTCGAGTGCACTACTAAATTAAAGATGTTAACGTTCATTACATTTTCAGAGAAGTGCAGCTACCTCTTTCAAAATGTTATTTGCCAATTACCACGACAAATCCTCCTCCAAATCCCAGGTAAAAGGAAGCAAAGATAAGAAGACGGACTAATAACAAACAAAAACATTTGCAGGCATTAACCTGGAAGGACCCCGGGACTTGGCCACTAATGGACCAAGTATGGTGGATGTAGGTTTATCATATGACCTCAGGTCACCGGCTACCGGTCACTGCTAAAGCAGCGGGAAAGGAAAACTAAGGGTAATTTAAAGGTTAAAGCTAAAATTTCACATTAAAATGCAGCGAAACAGTCAACTTCAGAGTTCACACAGTCCACAACAGAGCAGAGGAGAATGTTGGCATCAGCTGCAAACCCTCAGTTTATTGGTTAAAGCAGTGAATAAACTGGTTTTACTGTATAACAGGAGCAACCTAGATTTGCGTGGGACATAACAGCCCTGATTTATTGTATACTGTAATGTGATATATTTAAGCTGTCTGATCAATGAAGGCAATTGTTTGCACATACGACCCAACAGACAAAGACACAAATCACCTGAGAGGCTTTAAAAGTGTTGATCCCAAGGACATGAATTAGTGTAGGACATTTGTAAAAAAAAAAACAAAAAAAAAACAGTGTTTGAAAAATTAATATAAAATGTTTTCATACCGCAATGATGTGTTGGAAATTGTCCAATCGTGGGTTCAGGAGCTGTCAGCCTGACTGTATTGTCCATTTTTTGTTCATTCACTATTGACTTAATACTAATCAGAAATAGAATTAAATCAACACACAAAGGTTGAGTATACAAAGGAAGTTTTTTCTAAAGTATACAATAGGAAAGACCCTTCCTCAGATACTGAAGTTTCACCTTCTGACATAATAAAAATCATCACAGACGCAAACCAGGTACTGGAGATAAAAACAACTGAGAAGAAGAACCACTGCCAGTAAAAAAAAATAATTTAAAAGATTTTTGTCACAGCAGGAAAATGACAGGCCTCACTCTCCACAAATCACTGAAGCGTGACTTAGTATGAACACAACAGTGGACAATGGTGACCACAGGCAGTTCAAAACCAACATTCTCAGGAAGGTTTTAAATTGGTTTGAAAAACTAAATCTGAAGATGTTGGTTGCAAGTTTATTAAAGTTCTGAAAAACTCTCTCTGTTCTGTTGATTTCAACCAAGGGTTACATAAGCTGCACTGAATCAATTAATGTTGACTGGAACAAAACATTAAAAAAAACACGATTGTGGCTGAGACTAAAATAGATAAACTGATTATGCAACAGGTGATAATGGCTGAGATAAGGGACTTGTTTCACATGAGGAGACACAGAACAGAACTGTGATAAAACTGTGGTTCCAGACTTTATTGAATTAATGTGTCTGCTTAAAAAAATTAATTGTTATAATCTTGAGAGTTTTTTTTCTCTCTGAACAAACACTGGTCACAATCCTCTGCAGGATTGAAGCCTCAGTTATCAGACAAACACTGACAAGTCATATGACTGGACTTCAGTTTTGTTCAACTGTTTAAAATTGTATCTCATTTATCTCTAATTAATGTGTCTACCAGATGGTTATCAAAGGTTGCTTTGCTTTGCTCTGGATCTGCAGAATTTACTCTTCCTTAAGATACAAATGAATCAGAATGACTTTACTGATCCTGTTTTATTCAAAAACTTAGACTTGGACTTGACCCTCCACGAGGCCATCATCCATCCAGTGCAGCCTCAGTGTGATTTTGGTTACTTTTTAAATTCACCCTTTAAATATACATTTGTATTATAAATGGTCTTTAATCATATAATTTGACTTAGCACTTTTTTTGTCATGTTTTCCATTAGTTTTTATAACTCTAGACTATATTATTCAGAGATATTCTAACAACACATCTCTTAGAACCGTTGGGAAACAATTCCTCAGAGTAAAATAAATAAAGCAATGAATTTATTGCTTTACCTACTTGCAAGCTAAAATGTCTGATGGAGAAGGATTCTTTGGTTTTTACCTTCTTTAGACAAACAAAAACATTAGATTTTGACTGAAACCTAGAGAAATGTCTTCTATTTAAAGATATTTTTTAAACAAATTGTTTGTTTTTGCCCTAAATATCAGCTGAAACATTTAACCAAATCAATGTATGTCAGACACCTACACATCTACAGTGTTTATAGAATAGAATAAAATAGAAAACAGACATAAAGGAGATTAACAATATACACAATAACATTTTACAAGACAAATAGAATAGAATAGAATACCCTTTATTGTCCTTGTACAGTGTACCACGAGATTTGAGCGCTACTCACTTGGTGCAAAAAAAAAAAAAAAAGAGTAGAAGACAAATTGTAGGCATTTCTCTGTGTGTGGGGGCAGGGGTATTTTTGACATTGATCAGCGTCATTCATTCCACAGCCAAACAGTTAGTGAATACATTAGGGTAATCCAATAGTATAACTGCAGTAATAAGGATCAGGTGAACGGTGCTGGTCCTGTGAGGTTTCCACTACTTCTGAGCTCATTTTCACACTAACACACACGCCATATAACGTCAAATTCACAACGGTGTGCTGACATTACACACATACATGCCATAAATGTCATCTGATTCAGTCATAAGCCAACCATGTTACTGTCATGTCATTTTAAATACTGCAGATATTTAGTGAAGAAAACATTATTGCAATCGTTAAGCCTAAACACACACACATTTTGTGATAGACTGTGTCATATTCAAAATTAGGACATTCATCAATGTTGATTATGTTCTTTGTATAAATGTATTAGAGTGGATGGAGGTTTAGTCTGGGATTTTAAAGATTTATGCCACAGATTTCTTTGTAAGGCAGTACAATTTGACCCTGCGTTCTACTCAGACACAGACATGAGGTGAAAGCTGTGACAGATTATAAGATAAAAGGTCTAATTATTCTGGCTAGCAACACATGGAAATAATTTACCTCCTTGTTTCATGGATCAATAGCTAGGTAAAAAGATCTGAGGATATACTCTACACAATTTGGCACAAATGCAATTGAGTCCATTTCAAAAGCTACAGAATCAAAGTGAAAAAATAGGATTAGGTTTAAAGACAGGATAAACTGTTTAACAGAGAATCAAATGGACAAATGTTCAGAGATGGGGTGGGGTGGTGTTCATTGAATTGGTTGTATTATTTCAGTACTGTCAACAAATCAATTGGAACTGTTGTTCAGAGGAAGATTAAGACACTACTAATTAGTTTGAACTCATGGTACATCCACTATTTATTATTGACTGACTCAAATTTGATGGTTGACGCAACCTTTAAAACTGAATCTATATAAAATAAGTCAATGTATAATAATAGTTCATCTAATCGACTATTACAGCACAACACAGTACAGGTTTATCCAAAATAGTGATGATTGATGGCCTTCTTTAAAAAGATTAAATTATTTTTTAATACACTATAAATATAATTTAGTCCTGTGTTTGCCTCAGGCACACAGGGAAGAGAGGGGTTAGCACAGAAAAGATCTTAATTCATTACAATACGCTCCCCATAACACATGATACTTTTAAGAGAAAAAACCATGTCAGCCAATTTTCATCACAGTGCTGTTATTCAAGGTCACAGAGCACTGCCACTAGTGACAAAATAGATAATTTATTCTGAAATACAGTACAGTAGCCTCAACCCATGTTTGTAATCTCTCATTTGCTGAAGACTTTATCTTAAGAGCTATGTAATGTTAGCCAGTTCTTCCTACCATTGGAAGTTAATAAATCACAGCAGCCACACATTTCTTTATATCTTAGTTATGCCTGGTATTATGCCTCCTAAATGATGTTTCACAATGACTGACTCAGACAAAATAGTTAATGATACTGTGGGTTGACATTTTATGCAAATTACATTTGCCACAACATTGGCGTCCGTTTGGCATGGTTCAAACAATCTGGTTATTTGTAAAGTGGCTAGCATAAAATCAATTATCTGTGATTTTAAAGAATAAACACGTTGAGACTTTTATTTTGAAATTGAAAAAAGAACCCCTGCTTCCGTTAAAGAAAACCAAAGCAGGAAACAACATGACAGAAACCCGGAAACTTGTAAACAAACATTTTCTGTCTGATTTAAGTGGGTGAATAACGCGTACTCGTCGTACTTATTTATAGATAAACTACAAGATGTAATTATTAAGATAGAAAAGAAACGAAAGGGAAAAGGATGGAGCACGGACAGGAGCTACAGACACCTGACTGGATGTCCTGTCTTCCCGCTGAGCTGCTCGATGTTCCGCTGTGGAACTTGGCCATACCTGGTAAAACAAACACACTGTCTATGTGTGTAAACTGTAAGCGTATACTGTATATTTCCTTTCCAATATAAGCTGCGTCCAGTTCATTGTCAATCCTCGGTGGTTCTTGGGTTCCTCTTGAACTTGAATGACTAATTTATATTCCTGCGACGATGAAAGTTTGGATTTTTTTCCAGACTTTGTCAACGTGTACCGAATATGTTGTTCTTGAACTAATAATCTCAGAACCTCCAAAGTTGTTTAGAAATGACTCTAAAGACTTTCTGGATCTTGATAGTTTTTTTTATTTTTTCAACTTATTAACTATTTGATTATGATGTGAAGGTTTTTTACATACTCGACTGCCCTATGCCTCCAGGAAGCCACGACAGCATGTCGTTCTGCTTGGATTTGTCGTCACCTGTGCTAGGATCAGAACCTGTCGCTCTCAAAGTGTTAGAGTTCCTTTTTCCTTGTTTTACCCGACCCTGTATTTACCGCTGGGCCACAACACAGGTAAGGAAAAGAAAATAACTACTACTTGTCATTGTGATACAGAACACCAGGCACTCAAGCCTGCTTCCTTAACCACTAAGCCACCACTGCCTCAGTGTCACTTACAAGACAGATGGTATACTTTCAAATGTAATATTTTAATACATATATACATGTATATATATATTAAAATATTAGGACACATTTCACTTGCATCACAAATTGGTTTGACATTGTTTTCATGTAATCAACCCTAAAAAATCTTCTTTTTTTTCTTTTGTCTTTGTCCCCTTTTTTTCAGGGGTTGCCACAGCAAATCATTGATTTCCATCTCTCCCTGTTCTCTGCATCTTCTACTCTGACTCCAACTGCTTGTCCTCCCTCACTGCATCCATATACCTCCTCTTTTTCTCCTACCTGGTAGCTCCATCTCTAACATTCTTCTCCCAATGTATCCACTGTCCTTCCTCTGCATGTGTCCAAACCGCCCCAATCTGGCTTCTCTGGCTTTTACTCCAAACCTTTCTCTGTGTTGTCCCTCTAATGACCTCATTCCTGATCCTGTCCATTCTTGTCACTCCTAAAGAGAATCTTAGCATCTTTAACTCTGTCACCTCCAGCTCCGCCTCCTGTCTTCTGCCTATTGCTACTGTCTCTAAACCATACATCATGGTAATCCAACCTGAAAAGTAAAATTTCACATTTCACATTTTTTAATCAAATTAGCATGGAAACCTGTTCAAACACCTAAAAACCTGTTGAAACATGTGAGAGTTCCATCTGATTTTTGAACATTTAAAAGATTAGTGAATTCAGTCTATAGGTTGTGACCCAGTGTGAAGGACACACCCCAGAATTTTACAAAGAATGAATTCTCAGGTGGAAACACATTTTGTAGAAGTGTTTAGACATGCATGGAGGGTATGTGGAAGAATATTATTGTTATAGTAATAAGTAAAGACTTTTCCACCATATTTGTTGAAATGTTAAGCAAACAGTTCTCCGTGATCAGTGTGAGCTTGGAATTCGATATTTGGACCTAAGGATTGCCAGGAAGCCAGCAGGAGGCAGCAGGTTATATTTCCACCATGCCGTCTACACACTGATTGCTGTTGAGGTGACACCAATCAGGCTGAATATAAAATTGAACCTCTTCATTTGTGTTCTCAGTCACTGCTAGAACTACAATCTTAGTTTGTTTGCATGCAGGAGGCTCTTAGCGAACTCGCAGTCTGGCTGGATGCCCATCCCAAAGAGATTGTGATCATTTCTTGCTCTCATTTTGAGGGCATGACAGACACAGATCACATGCGTCTTGCGGAGGATATCATTACTTTGTTTGGGAAAAAACTGTGCCCTCATGAGGTGAAAATAAAACTTTTATTTATTAGACATTGTCTGCATAAACTTTGATAACAGATAAAGCTTATTTAACACAATAACCTGTGTCTATGCAGGACATACCTACCCTTCATTCCTGTTGGTCAAGACAACATCAAGTCATTGTTTCCTATGAAAATGATCAGATGGTACAGCAGCATCCTGAGCTGTGGGATGCAATACCCTACTGGTAATTCCTATTTTTTGTCACTTATTTAAACTGTACTTTCGCTCTATAAAGATATTAATAAAATACTGACTCACATGACTGGCCTCTGGGGGGCGCTATATGCACAGGTATGCTGACAGCCCAGATCCTAAGAAAGTGGTTGCTTATCTGGAGGAGCAGAAACACAGACAAAGACCAGGTACTCAAATGAGTATTCACCACTGATGGAAATCGAGAACCATAAATGTCCTGAACTGAAAAAATAGTTTTGCTTTTCAGCAGGTTTTTACGTCAGCGGTCTTAACCTGACGGAGGACATAACTTACGTCCTCCTCCATCCCTACCTAAACATGAGGAAATTGACGATGAGGTCTCTTTCACTGCTGCTGAAATGGACCAGTGAACAGAGTCCGGGAAAAGAGGACGGGGCAGTCAACATCGTCTGCTGTGACTTCGTGGACGTCAGTCACTTCTGCTCACTTGTGATTGGCCTGAACTACAAACTGCTGGGCTTTGACAATGTGATCACTGATTATTCTCTTTGCAGATAGTCAGGTAAGAGACTAAAGTATTCCATGCAAAAACAATGCAGCATACAAATACTTGTTCTACTTGTTATTCTTTTTGCAATAGGTCAGTATTTAAAAATATCAAAACTCAGACCTGATTTTTGAATATTTGCTGTACTATTTTGTCTTTCTGGAGCAAGGCCTGGTATTAGGGATTATTATTTCGGCTTTTACAGCTAATTTCACTTTCACTTTTTCAACATCAATAATGAACAAAAACAATCATACTGTAACTAACAACTATATCATTATAAAGCTGTGTATATATGCTAAATGGTTTGTCTGGGTATCTTTGCACTTTCCCCTCCAAGGTAGTCAAATGTGAACACAGGTGTCTCAGTCTATTATATTTTTTTACCAAGTAGTTATCTATACATACTGTATCTTTAAGTCATTGCAATGAGAAATACCTGAGAACAATCTAATAAAAATATATTTTCGATCTGCCTTGCCTGGTTTTTGCTTAAAAGAAGGAAAAACGTGAATGACTGCAGACTGGCTTTCTAAAAAATAAAATCCATTTTATTTTATTATTACAAACTTGTATTTGGAATACATATACCAACAAGTATTAAATATACATAGAAATGCTTTGAATTAAAACCTTTCTATAAAGGTGCTACATGGTTCAGTTTAAGGTAGTATGGTTTTAATGTTAATGGACTTTAAAATAATTAAAGGAAGGATAGGTGAAATTGTTACTCTAGGATGAAGAGGATGAAAGTAGTTTGGCTGAGGCACCTAAAAAAGATGACCTTTGTAAATAAAAAACATTAACTGGTTGTTAATGTTTGGAAATGGTTAAATTTTGATGTGATCTTGGTGGTGTACAGCAACACCAGACAGCAGAGCTCAGTGTTTTTTTAGTCCAGGCAGATTCTTTGTGACCACAGTGCATTTTGGTATACTGTGGAAAATGTGACCAAGTTACAGGATTATACCTATAATATGTAAAGAACAACTTTCCTTTGTGGCAATGCCTGCAAAGCAAGAAGAAGAGCTGCACAATCTTCACAGACAAAGAGTACCAAAACAGAAATAATAATTTAACGTTAACAAAACATTAAACACTGATTACAACATGGTAAAGCCAACATTACCTCACACATGATCACTAACACCTGCTAATGAAGCTATAAAACGTAGCTTAAGCCAAACGGAGGCAGTTTAATAAAGTTTCCAGCCATTTCCTAACACAGTGTCACTGATGACTCCAGAGATAAGAACCCAAAGCCAGGGTACAGGGGTTCAATGAAGGTACTGGTGAAGGTGTACAAGTGAGTTAGCGAGTGAGCTGTGACATCATAGTAGGACAAAGTACCCGCAGACCAGTCCAGGTACACCCCCACTCTTCTAGAAACAGCGGAGGGATTCGTGAGAAGAGGTGTGCGTATGTTATTGTGCCAGGCGTAGTAACCTTTATCAGTCAACTCCAAACTCCACGACTTCTCGTTCCACCCTAGTCTGCTCCCGTCACGGGCACCCCTGCGTCTCAGACTCCAGTAAGTCACTCCTATATCCACGCCTGCTTCCCAGTCCACTTCCCAGTAACTGCGACTGGCCAAACCGGCCGTGCACAGCAGCTGGTAGCACCAGTCGAATCTGTCCAGGTGGTCGGGATAAGGCTGCTTCTCCACGGAGAGCATTACTTTTCGGTTGTCCTCGGCCAGCACAACATTTTTGTGGGCTGTGTTTGGATCCAGTGTGAGTTCACAGGCATCTGTTGGATATTAAGAAGTAAGAGGTTAGAAAGAAACAGACAGACGAAAGGACGGACTGGCTGATAAATGTCCATGGCAGGCATGGCATTCTGGGAGGAGTACAGCTACCCATAGCACCTGCTCTGCACTGTAATAAGTAGTGAAGGGGAATGGGCAGTATATAATTTAGCTGCAGTTGTCTTTCATAAATGGCTGTATAACCAACCACACACTTACACTTCTTTAGACCAGCCTTGAACCATTGCACGCCATTATAATCCACACTAGAGAAAAGAAAAGAAAGTCAAAAACAGCCTCAGGACATTTAAGTCTTTACTACACGGTCTTTTTAACAGGTCTCTTTTACCATAGAGATTCCAGTCTCCACTGTGGATCCTCCACTCTGTCTGAAAGCAGCTTGACTCCTGTTGGGCCCAGGTGGTTGTAGCTCAGGTCCAGTTCTCTCAGATGGATTGGGTTGCACTTGAAAGCAGCATTCAAAGAAGCCCCGCCCGCTTCCGTTATCAAGCAGCCTGACAGTCTACAAAAAAATGTAAACAATAAGTTTTCATGACGTGGATTTAAATACTTTTTGGTATGAGGAATAATCCTCTGTTATTTAGAAATAATTTGTTCTTCTATCTTATTCAAGCAATTCTTTGCAATTTGGCAAATTCCTAAAAGTTATTCCTTCTAACAATTTTTGAAGAGTGTTTGTTTAACACACTAAATTTAAAAATGATAAACAATCAATTAAGTAATATTAAAAAACATCTATATTTACAGTTTTTAAAAAATAAAATAAAGTGGATGATTAAATTAGCAGGGATTTTTTATTTTAAAATATTTCTAATATATTTAACTTTATATAATTTATATATTTATATATATACATGTATAGTATGTATATATGTATAATATATATAGTATAGTTTTATTCTCAAATTGCTTTTTGCACATTTTCTGCCTCTCACAGTTGTAGTAATTTTGTGAGGCACCTACAGTATCAATTTATGAACATTACATTGATCATTCAAGCACATTCAAGGACCCAGAAATAAACTGAAACAACCTCAAGAGCTCCAGCCTGCACTGTGGACTCTTCAGACCCACAGCCATAGCTTTAACCCCTGAATCCTGCACGTCATTGTTGCTGAGGTCCAGTGATTTGAGATTGGACATCGTGGTGCTGAGTACTGATGAAACATCCTGACAACATTTATCAGTGAGGCCGGTTTGACTTAACCTACAAACAAACAAACAAACATGTATTTAGATTATTTTCACTTCTCTAGTATAAGTTAAAGAGACAAACTGGAGATAACCTGACCCGAGAGTTTCCAGCCCACAGTGTGGAGCCTTCAGTGCAGCGAGGAGCAGTTTCATCCCAGAGTCCTGAATGTGGACATTGTTGTTGAGATGCAGCTCTTTGAGACCAGTAGACCTGGTGCTGAGAACTGATGCCAAAGCTTCACAGCTTTCCTCTGATATCCTGCAGCCACTGAGTCTGAGGAATTTGATCAGACATTGAAGATACTTAAATGAAATGTTATTCAGAAGGAAAACTGGGAAAAAGTGGAAAATGCACAAATATACAATGGAAAATATGACACTAAGTCATTTTACAAAACCTTTGCTACGACACCCGATTAATGCATAGCATTTCAAGTGTAAATTACTTAATTTAAAAAAATATATTGTACTTGAGTACCTTTGAACACAATCTTACACAAAAAAAAACCCTGCTAAATTGCAGGATTTGACTGATGGCCTTTCTGTACAGAGTTTAAACATCTCATGGAAAACTCTTGATGAGACCATGTTGATGACCATGTCGAGAATTTGATGGTAGCATCATTTTTTTCATCTTTTCAGGTGTGTGATGTAGGTCATAAGCAAAGACAAAAAAAAAAATTTCAAAGCCTGACCTAAGACTCATCAGAGAACTCTGTTGACTCTGCAGTCCTGCACAAATCAGCTCCACTCCCGAGTCCTGCAGGGCGTTGTTCCCAATGTCCAGCTCGTTCAGTCTGGAGCTCGGATTGCTCAGGAACAACATATCATGGCAGCATTTTTCTGTGAGGTTAGTTTGATTTAATCTGACAAAGACAAAGACAAAAACTTTACATTTGTTTTGCAATAAAATGTAACCTTTTATCCAAAATGTATCTCATTCCTCTAACCTGAGGGCTGAAAGTGCACAGTCGGGATTTGACAGTCCATTAAAAAGTGCAGTGGCTCCTGAGTCCTGCAGGTTGTTGTTGCTCAGGTCCAGGTGTCGAAGGCTTGACGTCTTAGAGCTGAAAATGGTTGCAAAGTCCTGACAGCACTCCTGTGTCAGTTTGGTTTGCGTCAACCTGGTGAAACAGTTTTTATGGCCTTCAAATTCAGGTTTTTCAGTAAAAGTTGGATTAAAATTACAGCCTAATTCATCAGGTACATCAGTTTAACATCGGGGTAATGCAAATATCCAATCACAACAACCTAATACATTAATGCATAAAGACATGAACGCGGTAGTTTGTGAAAAATTTTTAAAAAGTTTTCAGCATCTTCTAGAATCTACGCAAAAACAACTAACAAAATGATGCCCACAAAAACTAGATCCAGCAAAGTGCTAACAAAGTGTACCTCATATAAGGACTAATCATATTAAGCCAGAGGTCTTCAACAGGGGGTCTGGGACCAACAAGGGGTCCAGGAATCTACTGTGAGGGGGGTGTGAAAATACTGGTTTTAATCAACCAAATATTTCACATTCCCATCACCGGAGTTTGCATTTTTAGATATTGTGCAAAACTTAAAGAAATTAAATTCACCTTAAGGTTTCCAGTCTACAACTACTACTCTGAAGTGCAGCGGTGAAGTGTGCAACTCCAGAATCCTGCAGGTCGTTGTTACTCAGGTCCAGTTCCTTTAGAGAGGAGCAGGAAGATGTGGAGGAGAGAACGGCAGCCAGAACTTCACAGCTTCCCCCTGACAGGTTACAGCCAATCAGTCTGAAGAGGAGGAGTGTTTTAGACAAAGAATGCTGCCGACTCATTTGCAAGCATGTAAATCTTGATTCAGTCTAACCTGAGTGTTTGTAGAGTACAGTCTGGACTTTCCAGTCCTGCACACAACTGTGTAACGCCAGAGTCCTGCAGGTCATTGTAACTCATGTCCAGGTCTGTGAGACAAGACGACTTGGTCCTGAAGACCGGTGATAAGAGCTGACAGGAATTTTCAGTCAGATTGTTTTGGTTCAGTCTGGTTTAATGACAAAAATCCAGTATCAATATTAATTAAACCTGAGCAACTGATTACAACATTACGTTCACATTATAAAAAGACTGACCTCAGTTTTTCCAGCCTACAGTGCTGATCCTCCAGTCCAACAGCCAGCCTCTCTACACCTTCATCCTTCAGATTGTTGTTGGTCACATCCAGTTCCCTTAGGCTTGAAGAGGTGGAGCTCAGGATCGATGCCAGCACCTCTCCACTTCTTTCTGACAGCTTACATCCATTCAGACTACAGAACATACACAAAATTATGCAACTCATGTTCCTGTTACCTAAAATCAAAATTTAGATACAAAAATTTAAATGTTGATGGACATTTAAATGGTATTGGGACCGTTATTTACAACAGTCAGCAGTTTGGAGAAATTTAAACATCCAGTCTGGAGACTTTTTGTTCAAGAGACCTGAAGATTTGTTTCCTTTTAACCTAAAATGACCCTTTGCTAACCAGCAGAAAACAGAAGTGGCCATGTGTTTGCCTGTGGCTTCACACCAACACACTGCATGTCTATCTATTCAGCACAAAGCAGACAGATCAGGACTTCACCCATGTCAGTCTTTGACAAAAACCATTGTGACATTTCTAGACTATTCCATGTTTTGCAGTGGTGTGTAGCCAGATGCAAACCTTGGTGGTTTTGCAACAGATTTTAATTAATTATTGAAAAATATGGTTCCTACATTTTTTTGTCTTACTTACAAAGACTTGTTGGAGGCCTTTACCACAGGCAGCAGCCTCAGAAGACCCTCGTCTGAAGCCGAGTACTTCCTTAGCTCAAACACATCCATCTGTTTCTCTGACGTGAGAAGTATGAAGACCAGAGCAGACCACTGAGCTGGAGAGAGACTGGCCGTGACCAGGCTCCCTGAACTCAGGAACTGTTGAATGTCGTCCACCAGAGATCGATCGTTCAGTTCGTTAAGGCAGTGAAACAAGTTAATGCTTCTCTCCGGTGAAATGTTCTTCTTGATGGTGTTCTTGATGTAGTCCACTGTTTCCCGACTGCCGTGTGGGCTTGACTGTGTCATAAGTCCTCCTAGAAGACTCTGATTGGATTGCAAAGAAAGACCAAAGAGGAAGCGCAAGAACAAATCCAAGTGGCCATTTTGGCTTTGTAGAGCCTTGTCCACAGCACTCTGGAGGAGATATGATAGTTTGGATTTGTCCTTCAGCAAATGAGACCACCAGGCTTTGGTCTGAGAAAACAGATTGGTGCCAGATTCAATGAAAGATATGAAGACATAAAGAGCAGCCAGAAACTCCTGGATGCTGAGATGAACAAAACAGTAGACCTTTTTCTCAAACAACCCTTTTTCTTCTTTAAAGATCTGAGTAAAAACCCCTGAATACACAGATGCTGCCGTGATGTTAATGCCACACTCCTTCAGGTCTGACTCATAGAAGATCAGGTTTCCTCTTTGAAGCTGCTCAAACGCCAGTTTTCCCAGAGACCGAACCATCTCCCTGTTCCCTGGATTCCACTGAGGACCTTTCCCAAGTTCTTCATGGAACTTGTAGCACCACAGTTTTGCTTGAACCACCAGGAAGTGGATGTACATCTCAGTGAGAGTCCTAGGAAGCTCTCCTCCATCTTTTGACTTCAACACGTTCTCCAGAACTGTGGCTGTGATCCAACAGAAGATCGGGATGTGGCACATGATGTGGAGGCTGCGTGACCCTCTAATGTGGGAGATGGTTTTGTTGGCCTGCTGCTCATCCCTGAACCTCTTTCTGAAGTACTCTTCCTTCTGTGGGTCAGTGAAGCCTCTGACTTCAGTCATCACATCAATGCACTCAAGAGGGATCTGACTGGCTGCTGCTGGTCTTGTGGTTACCCAAAGATGTGCCTCGGGAAGCAGTTTGCCCCTGACGAGGTTTGTCAGCAGAATGTCCACTGAGGTGGACTCTGTGACATCAGTCAGGACCTCAGAGTTGTTAAAGTCCAGCAGAAGGCGACACTCGTCCAGTCCATCAAAGATGAACACAGTCTGAAACTTGTCAAAGCAACAGATTCCAGAATCTATGGTCTCACCAAAGAAGTGTTGCAGAAGTTTCAGCAGGCTGTATTTTTGACCTTTCAGCAGGTTCAGCTCTCTGAAAGTGAATGGGAAAATCAGGCAGATGTCCTGATTGGATTTGTCCTCAGCCCAGTCGAGAGTGAACTTCCTTGTTAGAACAGTTTTCCCGATGCCTGCCACTCCTTTTGTCATCACCGTCCTGCATGGATAAGCTTTTCCCGGATATGTTTTAAAAATGTCTTCACATCTGATCCTGGTTTCTGGTCCTGCTAGCTTCCTATATGCTGTTTCAATTTGTCGGACCTCATGTTCTTCGTTGACCCCCTCACTTCCTCCCTGAGTGACATAGAGCTCGGTGTAGATGTCATTCATGAGAGTTGGGTTGTCTCTGTTGTCAACTCCCTCAAACAAACACTGGAATTTCTGCTTTAGAATGGATTTGAGTTTAGCCTGGTACGCAGCAGGAGTTGCTTTGGGAAAGAAGGAAGCAACAGTGAGAAACCAGCACTAGAATGAAGGGAAAATTGTATTATTTTTATTTTTTATACAAGGTACATGCATTCAGACATCTTACTGTTCTGTAGGGAGTCAGCCAGATTCTCCTGCTTCATCCTCCTAAGGAAGACCATTGCGATCTCCCTTACCGCTTTCTTGCCGACTTTTATCTCTTCTTCCTCCTCCTCATTAAACTCGCAGACATCAATATTGCCCGACTTTAAAGACTTTTGGATCTCCCTCAGTTCATTTTTCACAAAACTGAATATGTTCTTTTCCAGCAGCTGGAAAACAAAAAACAATTCTCATATTTTCTTCAGTGACAACAACCAACAACTAACTAAGGTTTATTTACAAACCATAAATACGGCATCTGTGTCAGTTTGATGATCCAGGAGACTCTCACTGTGAGCTTCTACAGATCTCTGCTCTCGTCTGTGGAAGACAAACGGTCAAAAGCAGTTAATAAGTATTAAATAACAGCTGCAGTGTACAGTTTGTGTACAATAACTAACATGATTTAACTAAAGAGACAGTTCTCCATTTCTGTGGTCTCATGGTTTTTTCTTCTTAACGTCCCTTTATCTCCATTTTAACACTAGACCAATCAATGAAAATCCAAGACCTGCACTGGATCTTACTTTGTATCTTGTAGATTTATTAAGCAAGACATTGACGTGTCACTCTTCATGGACACTCCACTTGGAACAGCACAGTCTGCTCTGCTCTTCTCTGTCCTATAACAAAGACAGATGAAAAAAGTAAGTTGTGCAGCTGTAACCCTCGACGATCTGTGTTTTTGCGCCCACAGGTTTAGTGACTGACCTGGTTTTGGTAGCTTGTCCGTGTAAAGAAGCAGGTAGTTTCATACATGCGTCACTGTTTATGGACACACCGCTCAAAGAGTCCAGGGTCTTTGACTGTTTCCTGAACATTGTTCCCAAGAACATTTTAAGTTGAAACAATGATTGTAGCATTAATAATATGGAAGAGTGACACATTTTGGTTTAAAGCCTTATGTCTGCAGGATGGAGCAAGACTGTCCAAATAAATTCATGGGCAAAGAATTTAATGTAATTTAATTTAATTTAATTTCTGACCAACGTAGTTCTGGCATACTTTGCTTTTAAACCTACACAATCTTTATGGTGAATACAAACGTATTTACTCACTCTTTTTTGGTGCATTGTCCTTGAAAAGCAAGAGGTTGCTCCATTGAATGATCACTAGTCATGGACACACAACTAGGCACAGGGGGCGCTGGTCTCTCCTGCTGCTCCCGTAGCTTTGGGCTACAATACAATGAAACACAACAAACAAAAAATAGATTTAAAAAATAGTCATAAATGAAATCTTCTTTTTATACAGGTGGCAGGGAGGGGGGAGCCAGTCCTAGCAGACTATGGTTGAGGGCTACAGATGGCAGGGCCACATACTGAATAGAGACAACCATTCAGAGCCAGGCTCAGACCTCTGGTCATCAGTTATGTCCAGGGATCAAAGTGGAAATGTTCTTGCTGTAAGACAAGATCACTGCGGACTCCCAGAGAGAGTTACTATAACATGACCTCACCTGTGATCTTCCGTCCAGTCATGTTCTCCACATGGAGATGTTGTCAGAGAGAAGATCACCCCAGTATGATTCATATCAGGCACATCCATACTGGCAGCAGATGATTGGATCAGGTGAGAATAAAACTCTAACTCTGTGGTCATACAGGTGTTGCCTATGGTCAGAGAAAGACATGAACAACCCAGCTCATGACACCATGCTCAGAGTGGAACACAGAGGTGAAGAAGTTAAACCAAAGAGCTTGTGAGGAACGGTGAAGTCAACACTCAGAAACTCATGAGAAAACATCTCCAGAAATGTAATGGGACTGACCTAAATCCCAGAGGAAATCCTGAATCTTGAATCCATCTGAAGCACAAGGTCAATGTCAGAGGATCGATTCAATCTGAAAGTATGCAGAAAATCTGATAAAGAAGGTATGTCTTGCTCACTCGTGCTTAACAGAGTCAAACAACACAGTAACACATTCTTGCAGGTAAAACAAAACACAATCATCTGTTAGGATAACAGAATTGATACTTCTCTTACATCACCCAAAGCCACAAAACACTCACTTACACTATAAATACTTTAAACAAAAGTAAAGTTTGTTTTACTGTACCTTCATCATGGTAATCCTCAACACAGAAATGAAACGAGCTTCAAATTATTGCTCAAGGAGCTGCGCCCAATCCATGTTTACAGTAAATGTGTTCAGTCAAAAAAGGCTGCACTGGCACACCGCACCAACGGTGACACACCTTGCGTGTGTAGGCGTGTGTTTCGGCACCCTGGTCCTAAGGTCACACCCTGCAGGTTTCTATGAGATCTTGATCAGCTCCTCCTGACTGACGCTCCAGTCAAGAGTTTTTACTCGAAATGAAATCAGCTGTAGGAAAAATGAACTGGTTTCCTGTCACTGTGGTTGAACTAGAATTAGCCTAAAGGCATGACACACACACACACATACCCTCATGAGGGAGGAGCTGTGAGATGATGTTTTTACTTTCACTTTACCAAATGGAAAAAACCAGGATGATGAAAGCACTCCAGTGACGGAGGAAGAGGGAAAATAATGTTGAAACATGTTTTTGGAGGCAGGTGTGAGAGTTGGGGGTCTTTTATATTTGGTCCTGTGAAAAATGTCTGTTTTTGTTTTCTGTGTTGTTAACTTGGTAGCTATTATCTGGAGTGCAGTGTCGTTGTCCTTTACAATAGGACAACTTCAGTTTTAGTTATTTTATTTATTTTAATTTCTTAGTTTTGCTAGCTAACCTGCATTTTCAACGTCCTTTTGCTAAAAATACACTGTATATAAAAATCTCCTGTCAGGTCTATGGTTTATACACTGTAATCCTATTTTATTCTTTGTTTTTTGTGTATTATTTATGCTATTCAGCATGTCTGTGCCCTGTTAGGCATTACATTTGTGGTCTTGTGCATGTTTTTCCTGCTACATTTTTATTCTCGGTTTATGCAAGCTGTCAGTGCCTGAACTGAAAGATGACATCAATACTATATCCAGTACAATTTGAGCTTTGCCTAAAAAACAGTAATAGCAATTTTAGTCATGTATGTTAATTTATACAGATTTAGACAGAATTTAAGACTAAAAGTTTCCAAAAACTCACAAAGCCAAGACATGTGTCGTGACTTTGAATAGACTGTGAAAACAAATTTTCAGGGACACAGTAAAACAATCACCTTGAGCTCTGTGCGGGTTTTTAGTTCAGTGATGAACATGTGAGCTGTGGAGGCACAGAGCTGAGTCACAAGAGAGCATGGTTGGAAAACAAACATTCCTCTGGAGAGATGTTGAAGAGGAGGAAACAGAAGGGGAGGGGGGAGGACTTTCAGTCAGTGGACCAAATGTCACCAGAATTCATCAATGACAAATGTACAACTACCATGTTTTGAAGGTTTGTACCCACATGACCCTGATACATGGAACTGAGGTCTGTGACACGTGACAAAAACAAGTTTGGACAAGAAGTGAAATCACAAGTAAAATGGTAACAAGTGTTTTATGAAGGCCAACTTCAGGGTTTAACCAATACTTTCAGCACTTCCTTTTTTCCACCACACATTATTTCCTTATTTTAGGGTCAGCCAAAAGAACATGGTACAAGGTTATTAATAACCACCATCACTTCTTCACATGTTTCTGACTCATTTGTGTATTAAAGTAACTGTAAATATTATAATGCCTGGAAAGCTTGTTTTCATGTCTAAATAGCTTTAAAATAACATTTTGTTTCACAGCTCACTATAAAGTGTAAAAAAACAAAAAGTAAATGGGGAAATATGGGATATGTTGAGCAATGTCCAGTGCAACCCTTCTGCTCACTGTACACTGAGACTTCAGTATTGAAGTTTGAAAAAAAAGTTTCGAAAAAACACTGCTGATTTTCGCAAGCAATACTTCCAATGAGTGACAGCGTGAACATATACCATGCTGAACCACATGTCGTGGAGTTAGTAAGACAAATAATAAGACAATGAGACAAAAGAACATCACACCCTTATGTGAAAATGCAAACTCACATCTTCCGTCACTTTATTCACTGAGAGGCAGATTTTTTTTAAAAAGAAAAGTCACTCACAAAAACAGTCAGTCAGTCATTTTGCAGTACTATGTAGCCACCCTGTCCCTGCATCTGTTATCTTGTGTTAGTTTTGTTTTGTCTTTTAGAAAGATGAGGTTTCACTTGTTTCTTTCCTGTGCTGCTCTCGAATTTAATAGAAAAACAACTAACAAACACCAGTGCATACAACAAATTTGGCTAAATGTTTGCAGGTCTATGTACATCAATTGTATTTGGTTGTGCAGAAACTTTGCATGCTAACAAAATCTGGAAGAAAGGAAATCTGCCGGGAAATTAGCTTGTTTGCAGTTTTGCCGTACATGTCCGTCTCTGTGAAAACACTCATATCCCACATTAAAGGTAAACCAGAGCAAGCGCAGTTTATAAAAAATAAATATCCCTTTGTTATTGCTCAAAAGTACCACTTGGAGACCACCCCAGAGAAGACAGTAGCAAAGGGGAAGAAACTAGTGCTAGGGTTTACAGATGTCACTCGAGAGAAGAAGAAGAATTATATCATTATAATGCAACAGCTAAAAAAAATTACTTGAGTATTTTACTTACCCAATGTTTCAACTGAAGCACAGGAAAACATATGTTTTATATAAATCAAACTAAATGTGGTGTTAAAGATCCCGGACAACTTGTTTTCACGTCTTAACACTGTTGTAACATGACAGAAAGACTAACAAAAAAATGGAATGTCTGTATGTATTTCCTCCGTGTCACTCTAAGCTTTTTACACCACCATATTACTGTCACTTAGATAAATCTTAAGAATGCAAATATGGGACATGTAAATGGTACAGGAAGACATGACAACGTCTTCAGATTTACACTTGAATAAATCAGTCAGAATATGAGACTTAACTTGATCGACTTCTTCTTGTTACTAAGAAGAAAACGTGCCCTAAAGTATATTGTAACACTTGACAGAAAAAAGGCACAACTTGTGTTTTGCCTGCAAGACAACGTGTTATTGTGTGTGTGTAACCAGAGCTTAAACTCAGGCTTGACACATACTCTAATCCTGTGTAACACCACGTAAGACTGGCTAACAAACATGGAGATAATAATAAGATAAGAAACCTATTTACAGAGCACCACATGTATGGATTAAAGACAGATAAAAGTGATTGTGTGGACAGTGGAGACGTGTATGTGTGTCTCTGTGTGTGTGTGTCTATCTCTTGGCCTGGCCGACGTAGCTGTTCTCTATGCACAGCACCACCAAAGAGCTGGAGCAGCTGCTGGAGCTCTGCTCCAGAAGATTCCCATTATGAAGTGATGAGGCCATGCCACTCACGGCGTGGTCACCAACCCTCCACGTCTCACAGTAGCCGTCCATGTGTTGGTGACCCGCACTGGTCGACCCGTGCCAAATCATCTTCTCAGGCCTGGAAAGAAAAAAAAAACACACAGATAGAGTTAGTACATACTTTTATTTTGTAAATGAATGTGTGCTCTGGTGTTGTTATAAAGTATCACCATGTGCTGTCAGTGAGGACGTTTTTGCCGTCGAAGGAGTAAATGGGCACATTCTCCTTCATCGTGCCGTGGTTGAAGATGGAGTTCCAGCTGTCGAACAAAACCTCATCCTGAGAGACAAGAGACAAAGAGCTCAGTGAGAAAAGTGGGAACAGAGCATGTGTTTCTCTCTTTCTTTTCTGGAACTAAAGTCCTGGGCCATGAGTGGAGAGCTGTGGTAGGTGAACTCTGTAACTGGGTCAAAACTGAGTTCTCTTGATTTCCCATTGGATTAAGGAAATGTATCTCATGGCAAAATTAGCTGAGCAAGTTGTCCGTTGAGGAGAACAGGCTTACAGTAGGTAACACTGTATACAAGTCTGAGAACCCACAGATTTGTGGTGCTGTACACTTTGATATGATAAAGTATATCATTAAATGTCATTAACTCAACAAACGTAGCACTATAAAAACCCAGTAAAGCACATAAACCAAAGCAACTTAAAAAAAATCATTATTTAAATTTGTACTATATTGATCCCATTTTTGGAAAATTGTTGTGTTAGCAGCAGATATGTTGTTAACATGCTGCCCCTAGCATGCGCCAAGCATGTGGTTTCTCTGGGAATAAACCCCAGGACTCTCAGCTATCCGCTTCCAAGACAGACGTGCTAACCGCTGCATTGCGGAACTGCCTAAAGATGTAATTCCCATACCGGGAGTTGAACCCGGGCCGCCTGGGTGAAAACCAGGAATCCTAACCGCTAGACCATATGGGAAGTTGGGAAATCCTAGAAAGAGGTAGGTGAGAATATAGAGATAATACAGGCTGAGGGCAGCCTCAACAGCCCATCATACTGTGAACAGATGTCTACTATAATTGACTGGGGTATTTTCATTTGAATAATAACTCACAATTCATGAATTTTAGTTTAAATTGATCACATTTTTTTGCTATAAAAAAGTACCTTCAGGTTGACTATTGGCATACGGTCCCTGTCTGCCCTGCGCACGATGCTCTGGAGATCTTGTAGTCTTGCAGAAAGGAAGGCCCGGAATGTACCCTTCATACCGATAGCCTGAGCCTGGGTGAAGCACAGGAAGTCTGCCCCGCGGATGCCTTTCATGAAGCCCGTCTGGGGGCTGTTCAGAGCGATCAGGTGGAGCTGTGGAAACACCAGAGTGATGACTCGAGATCTTGGTATGTTGGAGGTATGCTGTTAAACTGAAGTTTGTGGGGAAGACATTTAAAAGTGGTCTTTCTTACGCCTGGACCTGACGCGTGGTGGTGGACCGGAGTCTGAGGAACAGGCGGAGGTGGTCTACGGTAGGAAGTGACCAAGTATCGGCCATCTGGGTAGACAGGGCGGGGCTGGGTGGTGTAAATAGAATATCTACCATCTGGATGGTTTATTCTTTCAGAGTAACTTGGATATCTTGGATCAGTTGGTGAAGGGTAATGTGGATTTGGCTGGTACCACGGGTCAGGGTTGACTGGCACTCTGGGATGTGTATGTGACGGCTGTTGAGGTTCTGCGTGTGTGGAGTGATGGACATCGGGCTGGGAGAGACTGTCGGTTGGACTTTGGGCGTTGGTGTCGGTGTGGTGTTCAGGGGAGTAGGGGACAACAGGAGGCGGGTTCACAGCTGCAACTTCATTGTCCTGTGAATAATAGTGAAGATGTTTTATATAATTAGTTTATTGTCTGGTACTGCAGAAGAAAAAAGGGAAAAAATGACACTCACATCATCTCTGGTCAAAGGAATGTAGCTGCCAAGCTGGAGAAGGAAGAAGACATGTCTGTCACTCAGTCAGAAACAAGAAACTCAACTCTATTGAAAGATGTTAGAATGAAACCATTAAACCTTATTCATTCATCAGGTGGTAGTGATGATGAAATATAGATGAAATGTTCTTTATCTACAGGGGTTTGGAGAAGAATACAATTCCCCCGCATGGGTGTGTATCATACTCACAAAGACACATGAGTATGACACATACTCACACGCCACCAGGGCAGTGGTGGCTTAGTGGATAAGGAAGAGGACTTGGGTCTGGAAGGTTTCAGTCCACCAGCTGCCAAGCTGTGTGCAGTGGTGTGCTGTTTCACAATGACAAGTAGTTCACTTTCCTTTCCTACTAGGATGATGCATCACCGGCCTGTTTTACAGCAGCTTTGTAGTTCTTTAAGTGAAGTGCCATGCTGCTTTGCCTCGAGAAAAAAATTTAGACTTGTGGCCAAAAAACTCAAGAATATGAAAGTTATTGTTTATCTATGACCTGTATAGGATCCAAACCGAAGGCTTGTGGATTGTTTCATATATATTTAATATATTTTTTGAGAGCTAAATCCCTGCCTGGCTTGTTGATGTAGATACTTTGTAGTTATGAACTTCTCACCTGCACTTGTCGAATGCCATCCCTCACACGTAAATACAGATCTGTTTGATCTAGAATGTACACCAGAGATCCCTCAGGCTGTCGTCTAGCCGTGGCTGTCATGATGTCATAAGACCTCAACACGGTCACCTTCATGGAGAAAACAGAGGGCCAGACTTGGAACCGTTTGTTCTACATGGCTTCATTTCTAATTCAAATAAAAATATTTCCATGAAAGTACAGTAATTAGAGTAATTTTAAGTAGTTTCCTCACCCCAGATGAGAGTCCAGGCAGTCCTGGAACTCCAGGTGGTCCCTGTGGCCCCGGAATATTGATGGCTTTGACCGAAAATGATGAGTTTTAATGAGAGAAAACTGATACAAAAAAATGATACATCCTTCTGGAACATTAGGGTTTACTAAGACTCACTTTGTGTGCCCCCGTAAGGTCCAGACACAGAAGGTCCTGGAGGACCAGGCGGCCCTGGAGGCCCTGGCTGCCCATCATAACCTCTGCCTGGTGGACCTTGTGGACCCTGAGGGCCTGGTGGACCAGCAACAGAGTCACCAGGAGGTCCCTGGTGGAACAAGGTGCAATAACACTTCAGATAAGGTCCTTTAGCACAAACCATAAACAAATAATTCGTAAAATAATTTAAGTATATGTTATATTCATACCGGAGGTCCAGGGCGTCCTGGAACACCCACTCCACTCCCACCATAGCGGGGGTCATAATATCCTCCTCCAGGTTCTCCTTTCTCTCCTTTGAACCCAGGGCTGCCTTGGTCACCTTTCAACTCATTCTGAATCACAAATGTTGGAGAAATGACAGTAAGTCATTATTCCCATCTTTGGACATCATTAGATAAATAAATCTGTGATGCTCACCTTCAATGTGTAAAAGTCATAAGTGGCTCCAAACCCTACAAGACAAACACAAATAGTCCCACTTTACCATGGTACTATTGTTGAAAATATTCGAGTGCAGATTTATGAACATTTCAGAAACCTGGGATTTGAAGAATTCCCGGCGGTCCGCGGTCACCTTTCTCTCCTTTCAGACCTGTGTGTGGACATTCATGTACTTTTAGACCTACAGTATATTTGTACTAACTAATAACTACAGTGATATGAGGTCAATTTGACACATTAGAATCTGTTAGTGGTGGTAAATGAGAATGTTTTATACCAAGAACAAAAGTGGATTGATTCTTTAAAAATACAACAAAACCATTTTTATTTTCACACCTGATATTATCTAAATCTGTCATCAGCAAACCTGCCTAGAGAGGAATGTTCCAGAACACTACATCAGAACTCTGTTTGTTGTCTTACTTTTAACTGATCCAAAATTTTTAGTAAAATGTTTTAGTAAAAAAACCCCACTTGTTAGCTTAGCATAGGAAAATAAACTGTAACAAATATTCAATATATTTTTTTCTAGTAACCTTTCTTTCTAATCCATCTACTATTGGAATTTTCAGTCAGAAGTCCCCTTACCATAATAGTATCTGGAATCTTCATCATGTCCCTGCAAAGAAAAGACAAAGATGACCCATCACCAACCTTCACAAAGCCAGTGATAATTACAGCATTATGACAATATTGACAACTCATATATGAGTTTTCTTCATTGGTCAGAGGAAAGGCTTGTAGTTATTCTTTATTGTAAGGGACAAACTACAATATCATTAGTTAGAATAACACGAATGTTGTATAGATTGGTTTGTTGTCTACACCATCATTAGTTGTAACATTTCTAGAGGTGTACTGCTCCCTTTTACAGTATGTCATTGCACAGGGAATTCTGTGTTCAGAGCACTTCCTTAGAGAGAGAGAGGATGATCAATATGTTTTGTGTTTATGATCAATAACATAAAATATCTGAATTCTAGAACAGTAACAACTTTGAAGTGCTGGTAAATGTTCTTACTCCAAGTCTAGAGGCAGAAGCCGGAGGTCCAGGAGGTCCTGGAGGCCCTGGTGGACCTGGAGGACCCTGGAACAAGACAAACAGTGTTTATTGAGTGTATGTTGAGGGACATAAAGAAAATAGATGTGTTGAATCAAATCATTTATCTTAACGTTCATAAGATCATCAAAGGGTCTTACTGGGTACACATATCCAGATCCTGTGCCTGAGTCTCCCTTCTCTCCTCTGGCACCATTCAGTCCTGGTCTTCCCTACAGTCAAACAAACAAGCCGTATATCCTTTAATAGCATACACTGGTGAACAGGAGTATGTTATGCTCAAGGTGTCATGTGAGAATTAAACAAAGTTACTGGACGTCCTGGAAGACCAATCTCTCCTTTCTGTCCTGAAGGACCAACTGGTCCCTGGGGGGAAAAGGGACATACATAATTTTTCATACAAACCCATGCAGTGACATTAGGCTATGAAATATGAGTCATCGAGAAAAGATAAATGATACGCACTGGAGGTCCCACCGGTCCAGGAGGTCCCATCTCACCCTGTTAAAAAATGCAAACCATACAATGTTTGTGTCTGTTTGTTTTTTTTTGAGCAAAACAAAAGAACATTGTCCTGTTGATGTTTATATTTGTGGTCATAATAAATCAAAGCTCCTACCGGCTGTCCTGCAAGTCCACCAATGTACAATGGTCTCCCATCAGGCCCCATGATAACACCGGGTTCACCTTTCTGACCCTAAAAGTTAAACATGATTTATTTAATCATTACATTTTCAGAATCGCAATCTAGAAGAGTAAATATCTATAATAATAATAATAATAATAATAATAATAATAATTGTGAACTAATATGGGGTGTTACTAGGGCAGGCGTAGGCAAACTAAGGCCCGGGGGTCAGATGTCAAACCTTTCCAAATTATTTAATTTATTTATATTATCATTATATTTCTGCCTTTTCCCTGAAATACCCACGTTTCTCCAAAAGATGGCGTAGACAATGATAAAAGCATTTTAGCATTTTAGCCTTTATGCATGACCCAGGCGTCAAAATGTTTGACCACACCTGTACTGGTGTGTTAATAAGGTAGGTATACAATGGTGAATTCATCAATGGTCTTGATTTTACAAGCTGGCGTTTTACAGGAAAACCATGTCAGATTATGTCGTCTAAGAAACACATTCATGTACCTTAGGTGCATATCCTGGAGGACCTGTATCCCCTCTGTCTCCTTTTGGTCCCATGGGCCCCTGATACAAACAATAACTTGTGAATGGCCTCAGTTAGTGCGTGTTTACTGTATCAACATGTGATGGTAATACTGTACATACTGGAAATCCTGCTCGTCCTGGAGTACCAGGCCCTCCCTGTAGAACGCAGAATAGCGCAGCATGAAAATAAAGATCTTACCACGACAGTTTACTGAGGTTTGCAGAAAGGGAACACTTGTTTACGCAGCCAACTGGCGTGCACTCACCTGTGACCCTTCGTTCCAATAAAGGTCGTTATACTAAAGCGAGACAAAGTTAGGTCAGTTAGTGAAGGGGTGAACACACAAACCAGCAAAGCCGTGACTGTTAGTGATTATGAGTTACTCAAACAGCAAACAAGAGTTCTGAACAGGTGATTTAGACAATCAACAGCTGCATGGCAGGGCATTCATGTGCAGGTTAATCTCTCTCTGTGAGGTGATTCTGTCTAAATGGCTCACATCGCCTGTCTGGTAGACAATCTCCCCTGGAGGTCCTGGGGGTCCTGGAGGCCCTGGAAGTCCACCATCTCGACCTGGAAGACCCTGTTAGATGAGGGGAGAGAAAATAATCCATAAGACATTGGAAATGGAAATGTTTTTGGAGTAATATGGTAAAGGAGAAAATGCCCATCTGAGACTACAGCAAATGTAAGGCATAATCTACCAAGAACAATGAGACAGGCTCATCACAGGAACCATTCACACACAATTTCACACCAGTGATTAATTCAGAAACATCAAGAAATGACTGTGATTGATCTCAGCTACCAAGACCATTGAAATCCTACATTTGGACTCCAAAGACAACTCCTCCACAAAAGACCCCTATATGGGATTCAGGCCCTTGACAGTGGTGTATGTCTAATTTAAAACACAACTGAAAACACAAGTGCAAAAACAGGCAGTGAAACCCATGTCTTGTACACACAGTTAACAGGATGTGGCGCCATAGTGGTTTCCATTGCAGTCTAGTCTTGTCTGGGCAAAGAAACAGAGTTCATGACTTAAGAGGGATTTTTATTAATTAACAAATGAAACACACCTTTAACTACAGTGCCAAACAGCACATTATACAGCTAAAGGTCATTAGTTTCACCTGAGTTAATGTGTGAATGACACCGTTACTGCGTCCTCAGGCAGAAACCATCTGCGTCATTTCTTAGAGGCCATCGCTCAACAGAAGGAGGTGGATTAAGACATCTATAATCAACTGCCTACAACCTGCATCAAAGTTCTGTAACAAAAACCTCAAAAACACCCAAAGCCAGGCAGAGCTCTTCGAAGATAAATAGGCTTTTAGGTATCTAACCCCAAAGGCTGTCACAGATTACACGTGCAGATTACAAATAAATGAGATTGAATCTCTGGGAGGAGTTAGATGAGTATAATAGTTTATAACAAATGTTAATCACAGGGCTGAAACATTTTCTTAATTATGGAAAATAAACTTTTTGCACGTAACTCACCATCTGGCCTTTTTCTCCGGTGTCTCCCTTGTCACCCTTGACATGAAGATTAATGAGTAAAGTGAGGAGAAAACAAATACATTTACTGGTGTCAAACAGTGAGAAAACAGTGAAAACATTAAAGAAAAGCAAGGTTGTCTGGTCACATACACGTGGTCCTTCTGCTCCGTCTAAACCTGGAAACCCAGTTGGTCCTCTTGATCCTTCATCTCCTTTCTGTCCATTAATGCCTGGTAAACCTGGTTTACCCTGAATGTCACAATAATATATAAAAAAACAAAAAAAATTTACCAAGTGACTCTCTCTACCAAGTGAATAATATATACTGCTGGTCTTTAGAATGAAGTGATTAAGTGAGTTTTTCTACTTACAGGTAGGCCTGCAATACCAGGAGGACCCTGAAAGACATTGGGGGACCACAGTGTGAGACGTTACGTATTGGCAGATGTTCAATGCCTATGTAAATTAATCAGTACCTGTGGTCCTGGTGGACCTGCAAGACCAAGGACACCACTGGTCTCATATCCTTCATGGTCACTCTGTAAATAAAAGATTTGGAACAAAAAACAGTAAATGAGATTAAAACTGAGAAAAAAAACAAACAAAAACAAAAAATTCACAGCATCTCTGAATACACTAGATATTTTAAGGAAGTGTAAATGTTTGGTTCCCTACATGCGGTTACAGAAAATTGCATCAGTTTGAAGACCTTTTTAGTTCAATTCACAGATGTATTTCCTTTTGTCTTGGAATATCCCTGTGTTAATGTGAGGAAAATAAACTTGTCTACTTTTCCTCACTGTGGTTTGGGTTGAGCTCACACCTGTACACTTCCTGCCAAACCATTTCCCACAGAGCATTAACGACATAAGTACACAAATAAAACAAACCAAACATATAATGGTTTGAAAACAATGGTACCTGGACAGCACTATTACCACCTTCACTGGTACTTTTAGGATCTGTCTACTTACAATTCCAACACGATAAGGGGGTCCTGGCGGTCCAGGAGGTCCTGGAGGACCCACAGGTCCCATGGGACCTGGAAGCCCCGCGAGCCCCATCTGTCCAGGCAGACCAGTCTGTCCTGGTTCACCATGAGCCCCCTGACAAAAACATCTGGTTATAAAGAAGAACATGTCCAGCAGAAAGAGGTAAAGAAAAACAGAGGTGAAGAACAAGTCACACAACACAGACAGAGAAAGACAATTTCTAGTGGCAGATTAGTTGAGAAAAGTTAAGCTGTTGAAAAAGGAGCAGACACCCTGTTTTTGCGACCCGTTTACACACCGTAGAGGATGGAGCAAAGTAAGAGAATAGGTCCGTGAAAAAGCTGGAGTCTTGTGCGATTGGCTGGAAAAAGGTGACAAACAGCAGAGGAGAGCTTCCATTTGTGTGCTTCTGACACAAATTTGTCCATGATTCACAAAAGTCATGGATTTTTTTCTTTTCAACAAAAGCAACAGACGTGAAGCATAACAAAACAGGTGAAATCTTTGGATTGAACTCACCTTTTCACCGTGTGTTCCTGGGAGACCCAGCTCCCCACTGTCACCCTGGAGACAAACAGATTGATAACAAACGAGGGCTCACTATCGACGGTTCACACATTTTAAGAACACATTCAGCCATTTTGCATCAATCCCCTCATTCTTACCTTCTCTCCTCTGAGTCCAGGTTGACCAGGTGCACCAGGAGGACCAGGAAGACCCTGGAAATACATGCACAAGATCAGCTTACAGGATCCAAATCATTACTGTGGGTTAGAAATCTAAGAAACATTTTTTGTTCGATTAATGAGTAGGTGGTCAAGTTTTATTGTTAAGTTTTAAATGTGTGACTTTGAGGGATGTACAGTAGATACTGTAACTATTAGACCTGTGTGTAGACAGAGCTGGAGGTGTACTGCTCAACCAGACCAGAGGATGCTCAACACCAGGTGGAGAAGAGTGAAAAGAACTGTGGCTGCTCTGTTAAACATCTATTCACCAGCTACATTCTCTCCTTCTTAACTTCACAGTGGGATCAAGCTGCTCTGCTCGACGCTTCTCTAACGATGCACCCTTTCTAGTCAAATAACCACTGACTCCGTTGTTTGGTCTGATGCCAAACACTGTGTGCTTGATTGCCAAGTACTTGGTGTTTGATTCTGATGTTTACAACACTGACACTTACAGAAAGTCCAATGTGTGTGTTCTAACCTTCAGCACATTAACTGACTGCTTAGGAGCCATAAAAATGAAAACTGCAACTGAGTCCCAGTCAGACTAACACTCACCGGTACACCAGGGACTCCATCTTGTCCCGGTGGTCCAGGAGGTCCAAAGGCTATGGGACCATTTGAGCCAAGGGCCATTGAAGTCCCAGGGATCCCAGGAGGGCCTGGTGGGCCAGGAGGGCCAGGTAGACCAGGAAGGCCGTGACGTCCCTTGAAAACAAATCAGAATATGTTTAGTTTGAAGAAAAATATCTTAATAGTATATTGGAAAAAAAACCTAAATTACAGTCAACGCACCCGAATTTTCTCCATGTCTGCAAATCCTGAGCCCTCCATGTCCACAAATGTCTGATGAAATATACATTGACGTAAAGTCAAAATCTAGATAATCTGGATACTGGAATCAAATACAGGAAATTGACATACTGGGCGATCACCGGTGCCTGGTCCTGGAGGTCCTGGAGGACCTGGTGGTCCCCTGGGTCCAGGCTGGCCTTCTCCGGGGTCACCCTGTAAAGATGTTGAAGTTATATATTACTGCTTAAAATGAAGCTTTGTTCAAATAAATGTGGTCCTCTATATTTTCACACTTCACTTTTTGGCCTTTGCCTCCTTCTGTTCCAGGGGTTCCTGGAACACCAGCTGGCCCAGGAGGACCCTGGGAAAAAAAGCTCATTATGATTAAAAATCCTTTTTTCACAATCACAACAGACATCAATAGAAAAAAAAAAAACTTACAACTTTGCCGTCCTCTCCAGGATCGCCCTAAAACAAGATCCACAGTAAATATTTGGTCTAAAGAAAGAAAATTCTGAACTCATTTGAAAATGTCAACTCACAGGTTCTCCGTCAGCTCCTGGAGGTCCTGCAGGACCGTCCGATCCTGGTGGTCCAGGTGGTCCGACTGGTCCTGATACCTGCTGCACAACAGAGCCGTCCCCAAGGCGGACCACCTTAGCTGCAGGGCCAGGAGGACCTTCAGGCCCAGGAGGCCCCTGAGCCCCTCGTTCCCCTTTGTTGCCAGGGTAACCAAACCCAGAACTGCCCTGGAGAGGAAAGAAAAAAATAAATCAAAAATGTATTTCTCTGGATCTAATCTCTTTTTATAGAACAGTTATATCAACCAAACCTTACCTTTGCACCTTTGTCACCCTGTCAAATATAAAAAAAGGAAAAATCAACAGTCAGCTGACGTTTTTCCTCTAACAAAATGAATAAAGCCAAAAACATGTGCTAATTCACCTTCTGTCCTTTCTCCCCACCCTGAGAGGACACACCGGGTCCAGAGATGGAGCCTGATTCACCTTTTGGCCCCACAGGACCAGATTCACCCTGTGAGCCCTTCTCTCCTCGGTCACCTTTCTCACCTTTAGCACCACTGGGACCTAGACACGGCATCACAATAACATGTGACAATGTATAAGTGAAGGATGTAGTAGTTTGGGGTATTTTTTATTTTCCCGTGCAATTATGAAAAAAAGTAAGGATCACAGGCTCACAACAAAATCAGCCAAAGCGAAAGTTGTGTTTAAAAAATAAATCAAATAAGACGCTGAACAGAAGCTAGCCTTCTCTTTTCCATCCACCAAATCATGGAGCAGAGGAAGTAAAGTGATCTGTCCTGCAGAGGGCAATACTGCCACATGAAAAAAAAATCCTCCTGAGTGAAGTCAACATTTTCAGTCAACAGTACAGTAATTCTGTATATCTATGACATTATGGTAAGTTAATTTTAAGCAAAGGGAACAAGGTGTGTTAGCGTTGGTGTGTTTAAAGCATCATAGAAAAAAAGAATGTAGTTTATAGCAATAGACTATTTGATGCTCGCTAGACTGAGAAAGGGAGAACAAGATTATCCAAATTTATCTAAGTTTTAGATATTGGGTTGAAGAGGTTTAAACAAATGTTCTTGCCTAAAACGTATTTAAAAAAAAACTATGCAGCTACACATTGAATTTGTGTGAAGGATGAATATTATTTTGAAAAGTCATTTAGTTCCTTTAGCAGAGAAATAACTTCTGTGATAATGACTCCATGTTCAGAAAAGCTAACATTTTACAGTATATTGTTAAAAGAATTGCATCTTGTGCCTTTATTTACAACTTGTACTGCAACATCTACAACTCCCTGATCAGACTGCACACAGGCCATAACCCATAAAACATCACCAACTCCTGCCCAACTCCATGCTTCACCAGCCAGAGCACAGTGAGGAAACCAAGACCAGGCCCATTCTATACAGAGATAGGATGGCACAGTGGAAGTAGAACACAGTTCTAATCCCCCATAACAGACCCACCTCTGGGGCCAGGAGACCCAGGTTGACTGTGGTCCACTGATGGATATCTGACTTCTGAAGTTAAAAAAAGCAAAACACTTTTAAATGTCGTTTTCTTCTCATCTTGTGCGTTTCCTTTTTAGTATCAGATGAAAATAATCTTCTTAATTTCCACTAGAGGGAGCTAGAGAGAATGAAATTATGGGTGCAAAAACCCTAAAGCAACACTGGTCTTGCCCACACTCTCAGGTCCAGACAGGCACACTGATACACATTTCTGTCTAAATACAAGTTATTCATGTGACACTTTTTTGGCTGCTGATCAACAACAACTTCACCGCAGTCTGTCTGCTGTGATCGGTGTCAGGGCAGGAACATGTGAGCAATTAGTACTTTGAGGGAGACTGAGGTTTCTGGATGAAGATTTGTCTTTTTACCTGTTTGCTTGACAATAGTTCTTTCTGAAGAAGAGATCAGAGGCGGCTGTGGTACTGGACGGGACGGTGCAGAGGTGCTCTGCAAAATAAAACAGTATGAAACACTTGCAAGGTTTACTTGGTGTAAATCGTCCGAACATTATGAACAACTGACTTCTTCAGGAAAAAAAAAAACCTTTAACCTATAAAAATCTCAGCTGTCTCATCTCCATTTAAACCTACTGTTTCGTGACAACCTTCTTTACGTACAAGTACAGTTTGATTTAAGATGGTTAATAATCAGAAATATATTCTTGTCGTTGTTTGAGATCACACATTGTTTAACCCAGTGTCAAATTAAAATATTTGAAATAATCCCACCACAAAAACGGAGTGAATTGTACCACATTATAAGACAGTTTGTAAAACCAACAAAACCAACAGTGATTGCTGTCTGTCTTGTGTATCCGTCACCACTGCCAAAATCTCCTGACGCCTGAGAGGAGAAGAAAGAAAACAAGGAAGACGAGAAGATGAAGAAGAATGCAGTTATTAATTAGAGCTCAGCTTCACCTACTGGTGAAAGGAAAACCACAGAAGTCTGACACTCACAGCATCAAAGTCGTCCTCATCATCACACAAACGCTCAGCTGCGCGAGGGTTTCCCACCACTTTGACATCTGCGATATCCCCCTAAAAACACACAAACACAGACTCACATTTAGAGCGAATGTATACGAAGTCACCGCAATGACACAACTCATTTACTCAATCAGACATAAATCTTACAGCTGCCTTTGAAGCTGCAAAGACAGAAAATTATCAAGGGATCTCGAGAAGAATTATAGGTCGTGTCAGCTGACTATGAGACGCACCGTGTCATTGAAGGCCTTAGTTGTGGCCCCTGATTGGACCCTGAATCATCTAACCATCATACTTTCACCTGCATTCTTTCACAGGCTCACAGTGTTCTTTGGTTTCTGCACCTCTCCCTTCGCTCCCCAAATATCACAACTCTAAGAGTTCTATCACGGTCTCATCTGACTGAAAGGTTCACAGCCAACAATATTATCTTCCTTTTTCTTCTTCTTTTATCTGTCTTCTGTTATCTCAGGGTTCATTCTGTGCAGAGGTGGTGATCTTCAGACACAACTGTTTAAATAATTCTTAATAAGTAGAAACTTTGTTTTTCTCACAAGCTTCATTTGAGCCTATAAAAAAATCATCATTTGGAAAAAAAAAAATCCAAAAATTTCCAACATCCTGAAAACTTACAACCTCATATGTTTGACGATGAAGAAAAACATTTACTTTTACATTTTAAACAAGGAATGCGCCAATTCTTTCCTGATGCTAGTATTATTTTCAGGAATGACACTTCAGACACATACTGGTACTTTAAAAACACGTGTTGTGTGTTTTCCTACTGGAGTTCTCATGGCTCTCATGGGTGTTTTATTTAAGCAGGTCAACAATGTCAGCACTTTGGAGGAGTTTTAAGATCAGGGATGGAAAGAAGGAAGACTTGCTGTGATATTTCTTCTGTACAAGCTACAGAACTGAATATGTTGATGTGTTTTCTCAGTTTAACGACACAGTGGACAGATGAGACTTATTTAACAAGAAGAAAATAAAACAGGCTGTAAACGTTTTCCTGCTCTGTGTCTCAGTGGTTGGGTTAAGCTCACACTACAAAACCTGTGTAGCTGTTGTATGTGGTCATCAAGGTCAACGACTGGGTCAGAGGTCAAAGGTAAGAGAGGTGAGGTGCAACATATGCAAAAAAACATTCTGCTCTTTCTGTTCCCAGTGACCCAGACAAACCTGAGACGAGGTGAAACAGGGAGACGCTGAGGTCAGATTTACACACACACACACACACACCTGCACTTTCTGCACAGAGAGTGTATATCTGTCTTCTCCCACTCCCCAGGGCAACATTCGAAAAAGATTCATTGCATTTTGGATTTACTCCTGCCACAGACGTTAATGTGTAAACATCTCTTCAACACTTAAGCATTTCCTCTGCTCAACCCCTGGAGTTTATGGTTAGGAAACTAACTTCTCAGTACTTTACTGATGACATCCTTTGGTGTCATATGTCTGGTAAAATGAATTTAATTCTAAAAAAGTCCAATATAAAATATAAATACATTTACATTTTGGCGATTTAATTTTTTGCACTCTATGTGGCTTCATACAGACAGAGGTCCTGACCTGGACTGGCCAGCCTGCTGTCCAGAACGGTCACCTGAGGTGAGTTAATTAGTCACCAAATGTTCATATTGAATTACCTGGAACTTGTCTGGGTCAGCCCCTCCTGCTTGACCCACAAAAATCCCGGCCCCCTGATCCAGCTCCATTGGATCTGGGGAACGCTCAAACTTTTTCATCTGTGGCTCAGAGTCGCAGCCTAGATAGAAGGTCACTTGGTCATCAAAGACAGACAGTGAGAATCGACTCCACTTATCCACCAGGCTGGCCACCTCAAAGCTGGCTGCCTCATAGGAAGCCTCAGAGTCGGGCTCGGTGTAGAACAGCTGAACCCTCTGACGACCGGACTGCACCGCGCTGAGTTTGACGCCAACATACATGATCTTCTGTGGCCCATCGGTGAGGGAGAAGAGAACTGAGGCCTTGGGGGTGGTGGGCTTAAGGTGGAACAGGAGGGAAAAGTGGCGGTGAAATGGGTTAGGGACATAGGCCAGAGCTGGTTGGCCAGACGCAGCTGCTGGGGTGAAGGCATAGGCAATCTCTCCTAGTGGTCCAAAGACCCTGGTGATGTCTGCAGGTGGAGGGTCTCCTATCAGCTGAAGCAAAGAGACACCACTGTCATCTGGAAGATGGGAGAAGGGAAAAAATGAGTCTTTTATCCTGAGGACTTAAGGACAAACTTAGAAGCGAAATCAGGCAAACACAGAAACACAAAAATAATTTGTATTTTCTTTTATAACAAGAATATTCTTAATTAAATCAACAAGTCTGTAAGACAAACATAAAGGCAGCAAACTCCAAAGAGAGAAACTGTACAAGCACAGAAATGATCAGCAAATCAAGTTCTTTGGAAAGGTAAAAACAAAATGGTATCACAGCATTGTCACAAAACCAAACACACGCCTTACTGGTGGTGGAAGGAAGATGTGTCCTTTAATATTAGGAGGAAAAGTACAGTAAAGGAAATGCAAAGAAAAATGAAAAGAAAAAGAGAAATGTTTTGGTCCTGTACTCTTAACCTCAGGGTTTTATAGTTAGTTCTCCAAAACTTGAATTAAAGATTAATAAGAACGTCCTATATATCCGATATAAAATAAAATCCCAAGCATATTTAAAATGGACAAAAAGAGACTGGGAACTGAATTAAACCTTCAGGAGGACAGTAGCAGGCTCCAGGTTGACCATATATTCAGACAGACATTGAGTTCGTTCTTGACTGGTATTCCTACAGTCCAAATGTGGTTTATCTTAAAAATGTCTTTATTATATTAGATTGAAGTTTTGTGAAGACAAAAATCAAGAATTTCAAACGTGACCTTCTCAAGATGGCCCTAAATGGAACTAAAACTGTAACACATTTGCAGATTGCACTTGCATGTACATTTCCAATTGCAATTTTTTTTTCTAGTGCTTGGTTTTGTATAGTAAACAACTACTATACAAACCCTATACAAAACACTGTCCCTTTAAAAGTGTGGACAGTGAAGCTGTTCTATTTGGCTTAGTTCAGATTTGACTCTCAGTACACCATGTAAAGTTGTGCTGTGAATGTAGAATGAATACATTTTATTTTCAAATAATATACAAGCGTTGGCAAGTAACTGGTAGCCAAGTGTATAAAAAAAGGGAAAATATCCACATTTGTGTGGATGTGTGTGGGTGTGTGAATGGTTGCCTGGGAAAGTTTGAATTAACAAAAACTATTTCTCTTCCCATATGGACTAAAATATTGGAAAATGGAAAGCAGCAGCAGCAGCAGCAGCAGCAGTCTGGAGACCTGAGCAGCTTGAGTCACTCTTTTTTTTTTTCTTTTTTTTTGCGAGGGGCAACCGGTTTTACTCTGGCGGACACTTGGACGCAGAGATTCCCTGAGGGTGCTGTCACTGCAGATTCATGAGAGCGGCTCAACGAAAACTACAGTCTGTGCATTTTAAAGGGTCAAAGAGGTCAGCAGTAACGGGGGGTTTCCCAAAGTTTCTGGTTCTGTGTGAAAGTATCAAATGTAAGTTGTTAAACTGTTCTGTCTCTGAGAGGATGACAGAACTATTAATCAACAGGAGAAGAAAACACAAAATCTGCCTTCGAAATCTGAAAAAAACTCTAAGCTATCAGATAAAAGTGGTTACACAGAGCAGAGCTGATCATTGCATAAGTAAAGCATGAAACTTGGAAAGACTAAAGTACATGGACAAACTTAGGACAAAAAGTTTTAGCATCAACAAGTACAATTTACGGCCAAACATGTACTGCCGTAAGTTTTTGCTTACATATTAATCTATATCTCTGAAAGCCGTCGACAGTTACATTATGCATTTATGCATTTAGCAGACGCTTTTATCCAAGGTGACTTACAAGAGGAGGATTAATAATCAAGTATGTGGTTCCTCCTCTACAACAGACCAGGGCTTGGACACACTGTATGAGAGAAGCAGAGCTGACACAACCTTGTAAATATAATCATACAGTACCAGTGACTGAACATACAAAAGGTTCTTAGTTCCTCTAAGACTGTAAATGAAAACTATTTTTAACTAGTTTAAACCAACAAAACCCACACATTTCAGTTTGTCTTGATTTGAAGATTTTAAGAAAAATTTTAAGTAATTTTAATAATAATGATAATTAAAACAAATAAGAAAAACGATACCTGGAGTTCAGATGTTGGCTGGTTGGGTGGAGATATATCATCCGCATTGAATGAGATTTCGAAATATGTGGATTACTATTACTGTTATTGACAACTCTGTTTCTGTTAATGTTACTGACGCTGTACATAAAGAAACAGATCTGGAGCAAGACCTTAGAGACACAACAAGATGAGTTTACTTAAAGAAATAGTCAAATCCAGAGTAAATACAATTTGGAGACTTTTGTTTGTCTTCATTTTCTTTTTCCAGAGGCTGCTGGAAAATTAGTTCTTTGACAAGCAATTCATAACCGACTGCACATCTGCACAGTCCGACCCGCAGTTGGCTGGCAGGGACTAATCCTAAACATATGTTCTTACACACATACACACACATTTAGGGCTGGTGTTATGTGAACTTGTCCCGTTAAGAAACTTCCTGTTGGACTTGGTCCAACCGGAGCTGGAACGCACCGGGTGGTCAGCTTCCCACTACGGGCACCTGCTATTGGTTAATCTCACAATGACGCATCATTCCACAGCTGCTGATAGAATCAGGTGGGTCAGATTATGGATGTGGAAATAATTATGGCAAACGAAAGATGGCAGTGAGGACACTTCCTGCTTGTTCCTGAGCAAGGCGATTTGTTTAATACACAATCACATGTTGACGTCCGGGCCAAACAGCAGGAGATGTTTTCCCCACCAACAAACCAGATCACTCAGACTGAAATGTCTGGAAGCTACTCGTTAAACTAAATGTAATAATTGGATCCTTTGCCTTATCAAGCTTTCCATCTCAGCCTGTGAATCTAATGAGGTTTTCTCAGTGAAAACCAAAGTTAAGAGCATGGGGACACGGACCAGTGCTTCCTGACCTCAGACTGTACCAGGGGCTCTCAACATTAAATAAATGTTATGTATGGTCCTAAAACACAGTGTGTTGTTTTCTTTCTCACTGTTCTGTCTGTTTCTTACAGTGTAGCTGCAGTTTCTCCTGAGATCCTAAAGCTCTGTTCTCTCCTAGTCAAGGTTCACGAGGTTCATGCTCTCACTTACTTGAGGCCCTTGTTGTGTGTACAGGATGCTGTTGTCATAATCATAAATAAATGTGTAGAACCTTTGCTACTCAATAATCTTACCATGTCAGGATACACAGGGGAACGGGCTGGACACAGGAGCTGAGGAGGACATTTTGTTGTTCCTTAAATGTACATGTACGGTACAAAGAGTCCTCGGTCTGTGTGCAACGGTCTGCTCCTTTTATAATGCATTACTTTTCCAGTTTGTTGAGACGAAACTGTCCAACTGTCTTCATTCATCTGTGCTGTGGTGCTTACAGTTTGAGGTTTTCCACTCAAGAACACTCACCACTTAAGTGAGAGACCGACTGTGCTGTTCTATGACAGACAGATGGGAGCTGGAACCACCAAACGTGGGAACATGAGCATTATGTCCACCCACGTCTTTTTAAGGTGTGTCCATCTGCCTCTTTGGCTGCTTTTCAAGATCCATAGAATGTATACAACACAGTGATGTTTGCCTAAAGAAAAAAAGCAGCGCAATTTGATTCTGTTCCAGAGGATTACTGAAGTGCCATGTCGTTATTTTCCGACATGAAAACCCTGGAGAGATTCACTGCCTGTTAGAGTGAAGGAGCAGAGAGAGAGAGAGAGAGAGAAAGGCATAGAGGAAGTAACTGTGTGTCAGATGTCCATGGGAAAGTTGACCATGAGGGATTCTAACAGGATGAGGCACAAAGACAGAGAATCTGTCCCAAATGCCTGCACGGACTTCACATGCAGTGACAGACCGAAACTAATGGACTCCTGTGTGGAGTTTAGACAGAAATTTAACAGTAGATACAACTGTTTTACACCTCCACCAATAGAAAACAATGGGTTGTGATATCAAACACTGAAAAACAACTAAGTTTTAAACAGATTTACAAAAATACAAGGACATCAGATCTAGGATAGTTCTTTAATTTCCTGACTTTCTTTAATGGTATCTAGAAATCTATCTATTTTTGTGGTCTGTACAGGGAAATAAAGTCAGTCTTCATTTATGTGACATCAACGTTAGTCCTTGTGGCGTCTTTAAAGCAAAGCTATCACCAAAGTACAGTATGTCTCACTTCTGCCTTTACTTTTACATCAGTCTCTAAGATGTAAGGCTAAGACTAATTAAAGTGTGTAATGATACACTGTGAGGAGTTTGGGAGATTTTCATGATACATGTCAGACACACACACTGTCTGCTGCTCTACTAAAGAATCTCATCTTCTTCTGTCTTTATAATATAGCTTTAAAGTTTGCTATTTTTATATTTTAACCGCTAAATATATCTGGGCTAAGGCTGCTGTATACCACCTTGGCTTATTTCTGGCTATTTCTAATATCTGATTCGTTTTTTTTTTTTGTATTTTAAATCCAGTAAAAAAAGGTTTTATAAAACTTGTTTTTTTTTTGTATTTTAAATCCAGTTTTATAAAACCTTCAGAAACAATTTACCTTTTGTCAATTTACAACTGGAAAAAATATGTGAATTAATATGCTGTTAAATACTAGGTATAGTAATTATAGGAGCAGTTAGAGTTTGGGCCTAACATTTAATCCAAGGATCAAAAAGTTTTTATTCTCTAAAACCTCTGTGTCTTTTTGGGGATGTAGTAAAGGTCATAGGTTGCTCCTTAACAAAGCCTGTGGCTTCGCCTGGCTACTACACCAGCTGTCGTTCTGCTGCGCTCCAACTGAACTTCATGCTTCTGAGAGGCTGCAGAAAATCAGTTAACACTCCAAACAGACATGACACAGCTGCCACACATTTAGACTTAATCCACGTGTGAATATACTGAGAGGCTGCAAGCCAATTAAAAATGAATGACGAGGGGATCAGTGAGAAGAAGGCAACTCTTTGACTACTGATGGATTTTTGGTTAGTTTCCCGTTAACGTTTTCTGAGAGCATCACAGATTGAAGAAACATGGCTTCCTGGCTGCGGTCCAATCTAAATTCGACTCTATCTATTTGTTAGAAGTAACAAAGGATAAAGTTATTAGCCACGATTGCAAATCCAGTTCATAAATCCATTGTATATTCTAAGAGGAGGACAATTATTGTGCACGAAACACACATTATTATATTTTACATACAATAACAAAAATGTTTGGCAATAAAAATCAAGTCTCACAGTCTGTAACTGTGGCCAGAAATTCCTGAACAACAATAAGTCAATCACTGCTGTCTTGACAGCTAATAAAGGCTCCTTAGACAAATGTAGAGCTGAGATTTTCACTGGGAGTGAGCAGAATGAACAGGAGGTGGAGCAGTTAAGGTGGAGTAGTTAAGGTGGAGCAGTTTGGAGATACAATTAGAAGACTTGGTGGGGATACTGGACAAAGGGATGCTGCGATGGAGCAGCCAGGCAGGAGGAAAAGAGGAAGACCTCATAGAGATGTAAGGATGCTTTGAAGGAGGACATGGACGTGATTGGTTAACAGAAGAGGAGACAGGGAATAAGGTGAGATGGAGGCAGATTTTTTCACCAGCTAATCTTAGTTCTTTTAACTTCGGTTTAAAGTTTAAAAGCAAAACTGTGATAGTACAGATCACATCCTCTCAGACTCTAGTCACTGTGCTGTTCTCAGCTAAACATCTGAAAACATCAGCTCAACTCATCTCCATCACCACCACCCACTGAGTCAAACTGATTGGAGGATGAGTCAGGCGTATGACTGCCCTCTGACCCCTGGCATCTACAACAGACGCCTCATCTCATCACTGGTCCTTCTTGTTACCATGAGCCGAGTGATTTCCTTTTCTCTTGCAAACCATGTTCACTGTGACCACACTCTTTCTACAGAGGAGAGCGTTTTCCTACCCACTGCCATGGTCATAAATGCCATCCTCAGGCATCTATCACCAACACAAATGGACCAATTGTGGCATTCCTCAGGAAGAAATACATGCCGAGAGATGAGCACACCCAGAATCCTCACGACATTCCAAATCCACTGATCAAGAACGAGGATTACAAGAAGAAAGAGTGGACCGAGCAGCACTGGAGTGTGGGATGAGACGGAGCATCTCACTGAAACTGGACATAGTTTATAACCAAGAGAATTAGTGTAATTAGTATAAAGAGTATAAATAGTTCTGTTGCAGTACTCCCCTCTTTGTTTTGTCATAGTAAAGGTCTTGGACAGTGGGAGAAAACCAACATACATACAAACTCAATAAGGAAAGACCATCGGGTACCATCGAGGTTCCAACCAGGTTATTGTCTCTCTGTAAGGCCAGAGCTTTATCGCCCTTTACTAAAACGTACCTCTTAGTAGATTAAGTGCCATGACTTCCTAGATAATAAAATCCTGTCAGATTCATCACCAAAATTCAAAGGGACTAATTGTTTTACGTCACTATAAGTCAGAAAGAAAGAAAGAATGAGATCTAACGTAGACGTGACATCACAAGAAGAGCAACGTTGACTACAGCCCTACACTGTAGTGCAGTATTTCATTATTATGCAGGTTCTGTTACATTAATTGCATTGTTTGCACATGAGTTTTCCAGCAACCAAGCTCCAAATAAAAAGATGCCATCACATGAACACAAGTATTAAATATAGCATGTATAAACTTAATGTATGCTTGAGAATAGCTCACTGATCTTATAAAAAAAATAATAATGTGAAACTAGAGGAAATATTATAGGCTACATTTTCAGCGTCAAGAAATGAATGTCAAGGTCATTCGATCACTTTGGTGACAGTATTTGTTCTATTTTTCAATGTAGGATCTGAAGAGATATCCTGTCAACTTTATTCTGGAAAGGCAAACTATTTATATTTTTAGGTGAATCTATGCTTGTTTTGTGATTTGAGTAAACTTCTGTTTAGGTTTAGTATCAGATTTCTGCCCAAGCATGTCCAAAATAAAAAAAAAGCCCATTTACTAAAAAACATGACATTAAAACGTACACACAACATTCTAAATATTCTGAATGACAAGGTGCTTGGATGCACAAACACAAAGAGACCAACGACGAAAAATGACATGACATCGGATTCAAAATGTATCAGCTCACAGGATACATTCTAACCCGCCGGGGTTACCTTTACAGTTACTAACAGACGCGCATGCAGGCTCCTCTGCTCTTTCAGGGAGGAGGTCACACTCCACTGGTAGACCCCCGTCTTCCAGGGATGCCCAGCAGCTGTCCCGCAGGACGTGGCAGAAGCTGCGGCAGGGCAGGTACAAGGGAACGTTGGGCAAGGGGCACTGAGGCACCAGCAGAAGGCAGAGGAACCACTCTATGCCACGGTGACACCCGGTGTAGGCGAGCCACGCCCACTCATGCAGGGCCGCCCTCACCTCGTCCACAGACGTGTGGTTCACAAAGTTGGGCAGTGTGAAAAACGCTGGCTGTTTGCCCAAACAAATGGGTGAATCAGATGGCACAGGGAGACAAGACGGATCAGCAGTATTGATGAGACTCACNGATGAGACTCACACCTGATCCTAGATCTGCTGCAAGATCACCTGATCCTGAACCTGAGCCTGACCCAGACTTAGATGAACCCCCTGCCCAAACCCCAGGGCCCTCCTCCACCCGCTTCCCTTCGGACATGTCTAGATTACCCGTTGCGTTAGAGTCAGCGCTCTCCACCTTCTCTGGTGTCTGGACAGTCGTGGTGGTCTCGGTCCCGGCCCACGCTTCAACAAACTTACGGATTCCTGTGGCAACGTTGAGGATTTCCTCCCCAACCCCAGACAGGTTGTCATCCTCTTCCTCTTTCTTCTTTGTGCCACTAGATGTTGTGGTGGCACCTGTCGTTTCTGTCACTGCTGTCACTGGTATTGGAGTGGTGCCCTCTGAGGTTGAGTACCAAAACCAGGCCTCTGAGCAGCCAGCACAGAGGACCAGCAAAAGCAGCAACGCTTGGATCCTGAACATGCTGCTGCTTGCTGCTAAAAGTCCTCCAGATGTCTCAGCTGGTGGCACTCGCTGTTTCCCCAAAAGTGCCACCTGTCGGCCAGCAGGTCAACAGTGAAATCCAAGCTGTTCGGGGTCCACTTAGCATCCACTGAGTGAAAGCAGAGACAGAAAAACTTTGCTAACACTCGCAGACCCTTCCTCTGGAGAATCTAGTGCATGGCTGCTGCTGCTGTGGCTGGAAAAGCTCTCACATGAACGGGGGGAGACCCAAGTGTGGAGGCAGGCTTGCTATGAAGTGATGCTGGAAGTCATTGGTTACTCAAGAGTTTGCCCCAACACTCACTTTAAAACTCCTCCCCTGTGAGAGTGGAGTAAGTCAGTTCCCCAAAGACCCTCTCAGCAGCGAGGAGACAATTCCCACAAATGTTCCTGTTACCACCGTGACACACCCACCACACATAGAAACAGACTTAAAAAAAATGAAAGTATATTTGAAGCACAAAAGCAACATATCTTCTAGTTAAGTCAACACCAACATTCCAGGCTTTACTGAAGTCTGGAAGAATTACCCCGGGGTGTCTGCTCAGATGCAGGCACCAGAATGGGACGACATGCCTTTTTATTTATTTATTATTGCAGGGTTCCATAAGATCAACATCAAACTCAAGTCAAACTCAACAGGACACGACATGCTTTTTTAATGAGCCCTAAAGCTGAACGGAGATCAAGCAGATCTTTTTCTTCATGCATACGTTCTTTTTCAAAATACTGCACAAATTCATTTAGGTGGTTCTGTCTTCTTTATTCACAGAATACTTTTTCAGATTCACTCAGTGAAACTGTGCAGTTATATAGATGACTGGAGCTTTTGTTGGTGCCAGGTACAAAAACCTTTCAGAAAAGTAGTATGCTAAAACAAATGACCTTATTATGGCAATGGATTTGAATCTTATTCTTATTGAATCTTATTTATCAGCCTTGTGGAAAATGACAAGATTCCCAGGATCTCTGGATACGTTTTAAATTTGCATCCATCACATTTTAGATAGGAGACAGATCTGACCCGTCAAGCACACTCTGTATTATTATTATTGTTCTGCCAACATTTTAAGTAACATTGTGATATGAATCTTCTTTTTATTTAGCCTTTATTAAACTACACCACCATAATGTTTTACTTCTACACAACACTGTAATCTATGTGAGCAGACTTCAGAAGATTAAGATCACTACTGCCTGAGGTTTTGATTCAGACTGTTAGAGAAGAGCAGGGAACAGTACAGCAGCTGGCAGCAGGTTAGTACGACACACAGCTACACGTCACTGTTGCATTGATGTATGGCTTTGTTTTAATGGCAGCTAATCCAAAACAAGTCAACAGTGATTCTGTTCCAAGAGCATAAAGTTGCCTTAATGATCAAGAGCAGGAGAAAGGAACAGGATAAAACCTGAAACTGAAGGAGAAAAGTAGCAACAGCTGGAAGAGAAAGACGATGATGAAGATGATGATCATCAGCAGCAGCAGCAGCAGCAGCAACAACAGTGTGAAATATGAAGAGGAGCATAATTGAATGACAGCAGCTGTGAGAGTGAGACAGTGAGGGCGCGGGTGTGTCTGATTGGATCAGCCCTTTTAAAGCCCTTCTCCTGGGGGACCACGCACCATTGCCTCATCACGGCAAATCCTCGGAAAATGTAGCGTCTCAACGTTCTCACAGATTACTGATAAGGGACTGCCTCCTCCTTCTCTTCCACCTCTCCTCCTCCCCGTGGCCCTGTGTGCCCCCCGATCATCCAGTTAATCGCCTCATCTGCCAAGCTAAGACATCCAGCTGTTACACATTCCACTCCTCAGACCTCCCACACCCACGCAGTATGTGACATTTGGGAGGTTTTGGAAAGCTGCAGCATCTCGATCACTTGTGCATTCACGTGCCACCACTCCCTGTGTCAGTGCATGTACAGGCTGCATCTATAGGCACATTCAGCAGAAATGAGAACTGCAGCATTCTGGGGGTTTTTTCTGTCTAGGGAAAGGAAACATACGCTAGTAATTAGAAGTACTGTAGTTGTTTCACGTTGTACTGCTGTCTGTCAGCAGCTGGTATGTGTTGCATACATTTTGTAGTTTGTTGGATTCAAGACTGCGTTCTCTGACTATTGATCAAATCCTTCAAAACGCCAACGTAACTCTGGACCAGCTAGAAGGCATGTTATGCCCGCATGATGCATACTTAAAAACTAGAAAATCTGATTGGTTAAATCTGATTGATTTTATGCTCTCAGCATTACAGATCCTGAAGGATTCAGGGCTGATTTCTTTCAACCTGGCAACACACACACACACACACAGGTGGGGGATAAAATCATATGGCTCAAGGAAAGACCAAACTGTAAGTCTTTTGCCTGTGTCTGGACAAAGAAGAAGAAGAACCCAGAGAACACTGTAACCACGGTGGAGTAACGCCACACCACCTCTACAGAGTACATCAGCTTTTTCATGCATTCTGTGCATATTCTACACTTTCCTCTGCACAAACAAGCAAGAACTTCAGACACGGAGTCCTTGCTTGTTTTTTCAGTCAGATACAAACAGGCTCTCGTGGCTATATGCATGCTCCAGACATGAGCCAATACACAATAAGGCAGCTCTCCTGCAGAGACTCCTACATACATGTAAACCTCCCTCCAGGGCTCTTTCACCACCATCAGCTGTCAGCTGCTCTGACCTGCACAGGGCCATGAACAGGGTAAGTAAACACACCAATGCATGTGTGTTCATTCATGCGTTGTTTTTTTATGACACGTGTCGTTCTTTACGAAAGACAGAGAAAGAAAGACAAAGAGACAAGCTTACACATACCTGATTTTAATAAATAAATAAATGATTTAAACACAAAATCAACAGATCCCTGTCTCACCAACAGTCAATGCAGCAACTCAGGCCAAACATCGACTGTACATGGAGCCAGATGCCTTTGCATCCAAGCCAAAAGCCTTTACAGTCAGCACTGAGATCAAATCTAAAAAAAATACAAAAAAACCATAAAAACTCAAAAAACTTTCTAAATGAGAATAAAGTAAAGATTTAATCAGCAGCGCCCTCGCTTGGATCTGTTTCAAATACAAACTTGTGTTTCTGCAATATGCTGTTGGTGTATTTGTGTAAAATGCCTCAACTTTTTAATACTAGCAATTCCTATCTCACAGCGAAATCAGTTTCCTAGACATTTGTGTTAAAATGTATTGGAACAGTTACTGAAACTAGAGCCCAATATATCACAGCCCGACCAGTCACCACTGGCTTCACTGTAGAGCTGTATAACTCAGAACATCTTATAGTGTAGTTTCATGCCTCATATTGAAAATGTCTGGCACATTGATGTCTGAATTGGCTTCCAATTAGCAAACAAGATTTCCACATCACATCACAATTGTTAAGCACAAGCAGAAAAGTCACATATCCTAAAATAACCATCCCAAATATAAAAAAGGTGTATGTTCCTGTGTTTTAGCCAACCTATGGATGCACTAAGACTGCAACTCAATCCAATCATTTTGAAAGAAGCAGTGACTGATGACATGTTGTGTGACTTTGATTTTTTTTTTTTTTGCTTTTAATGATTTAAAGCACGTTCTCAATCACAAGGCAGCATTAGTGAACTGCAGCTGACATTGGGTGTGGATGCTGAGCAGTAAATCACAGTATCATCTGTGTACGAGTTAAATCAAACAATGGTGACATTATTGTCAGCATTAAGTATGTGTGATGTATGTAATGTATACACACAGCTGGGTATTTTTAAGTTTGTGTTGCTATTTATTCACTGAATTACTATTTATTAAGAAAATATTTGTTTATTTACGCATGTATTTTTGACATTCATATGTTGTTTTTTCTTTCTTGTGGAAATCACTGCCTCTCCGAACATATTGCTTTTATTTCGAGCAAAAAGCTCTAGGGGATTCTTTGCAATTCCCTTTTAAAAAGTATTTTGCAAACATTTGCAAAAAACATCTTACAGGAATATTCCAAAAGAAGTAAAAAGCGATATTCCAAAAGTGAACATGGATAAACTTCTCCTGTAAGATTTAACCTTGAATAGAAACTAAAACCTTCAGATGCCCTCCCTCCCCTCATCATAAAGAAAATATGTCACACAGCATTGTGGGAAAAATGCAGAGAAGCTATATGAAGACAGCGGAGAGAAAGAGGGGGTTGTGAGTTGCAGCTGTGCTAAATTACCAGTAAAACATCCAAACCTCAACCAAACCTTGCCATGACAATTTAAAATAAATAAATATATATTCTTAACGGACAAGAGTTGCCCAAGCTAAATAACAATAAGCTAAAGCTAAAATATTAGCTGCATAAGTGTTACCCATAAAGAAGTTGAATCTAACTGAAGAAATATTCTATAAAATGTAAAGTAAAACTTTGGTGCCTTTTTCAAGTGAAACATAAAACTAAACTTAAATGTTCTGTGTGCGTGTGTGTCTGCTGAAGTTTACCAGGCTCAAACAACATGGTTGCCTCACAGTGTAATTAGCAGATCACCATTTCCCTGGGGTGGGTGGGCGTCAATGTTCATGAACCCACGTCTATGTTTTTTTTACATGTGCATGTGAGGGACGGCTAGGCACTAAGGTACAACACTTAAACATTTACATTTTTTCTTTTTTTTTCCATGGTTTCGTAAGATTGTATACATGCATTCTGGCCAGCAGGTGGCAGCAGCAAAAGTCAGAGCAACCACAGGATTATGAGAAACATCAAGTGTAACCTGATTCAACAGCCTCAAACTGGTTGACATGAATAAATATCATAGATAAAAAAAAGTGACAAAGCAAATTCAGAGTTTACCAACTCTCAAAGCTTTTTTTAAAGGTACATTTGTGTGTGGATTGTGGTCTAAATTACAGTATATGTTACTATAACCTGTAACCAAATCAAAACAAAGATCCAGACTTTAAAATCTTTATCCAAATTTCAGATTACAATATAAAAACTACTACTATAATGCAGCCCTTTCTCCCTCTAATGAACTATTATTTAATTCAAAATAAACTGAAAATCAGATGCAGATTCCACAGTGAATATTTTGGATATCCTAAATGGATAACTTAGCTAGAGATCTAAGAATTACACTTACAGTAGAACTTAAGTTTTGTTGATTTATTTCCATCTTCTTTTTTTTTTTATGCCAAAAAAGAAACTCGTAAATTGGTGTTGCTTTCTATTTGAAGTATTTTATGTGGAAAAATTGGAAAATCATGTTTGGAAAAATGTCATAACGCCTTATCTATTGAATAAAACAAAACTGGCATGTAGTCTCATTCCGCAAACGAAGGTGCATTGCTGTCATCTGTTGTCCAAATCTTAAAGTACACCGTAGAAGAACTC